CCAGCCGAAGCTACCCCATCGGACGTCGGTGCAGGGAATCATATCGATTCATATTCTCTTCTAACCATGTAGTCAAGTCGACATACACCATTTTCTTTGACGTCCCAGGCATAGCCATAGCACGAATGGGGGTATATACCGGTAGCTGCTACGACCAGCGATTTGCATTGTCATTTGCGAGGTTCATCATCCTTCACCTGAGCTTTCACACTGCAAGCCCTAAACCCTAAACCCTAAGCCCTCAACTCCAAAGCTTGAAATCCCCAAACCCGGAGAAGCTCTGGAAGCTCACCATCTCATATGTCTATGAAACCCTAAACCCTAAACCCTAAACCCTAATATGGATCAGGGAGGTGGTGCCGCCCCTGCCCCCGGCAGCGCCATTGTGGAGGCGGCGAGATCGCTTTTCGAGGACGTTTTTTCAGCTTGGGGTTGAAGGATTAAGGAGTACAGCTCAAACTTCAGGGCATAGTAAAGGTTCCATGTTACAAACATGTGCAGAGGTTGCATAACAGCGCCATGAGGGTTTCACAAGGGTTCTATACTAGTTTTGGGGGTGAAGAGTTTGCAGGTCGGGGAGTATGTGGGAGCTATATTATAGGATATCGTAGCATGTTGTCCTAGAGAATCGTACATTATAGTATACTGTTTCTGGTTGAGGGTCGGCTAACTTTTCTAGCTGTGGTGGCGTTTAGTTTGTTGGTGACCTTTGCAGATTGTGCGGTCCCAATACTGCAGCTGGTTATTCACCTTAGCTCTGACACAGGCCAGCCACTGAGACTAGGACCCAAAGTCAGCCCTTATTCCCTTTTTCTAGGGTTCAGCTTCCCTTTTAACCCCCTCAGAACCAAAACGGGCGCCCTTTTTATTCCTAGGTTACTCTTAGGTCTAGGAGACTTGTGAACAAAAAAGACCCGCCAGCCCTAGGAAAAGCACATGGCCAGTGAAAACCACCTCCGCCTCCGTTCGGATGGGTTCTTGTTCGGGAATTTCATATGCCAAAGTAAGGAAGCCACGCTATATACCATAGATCCCTACAAAAGGAAGCCACGTCATATACCATAGATCCCTACAAAAGGAAGCCACGTTATATACCATAGATCCCCACAAAAGGAAGCCACGTTATATACCATAGATCCCTACTATAGGAAGCCACGTTATATACCATAGATCCCTACTATGGTATCTTCAACTAAGCAAGAACCCAGCCTGAATGGGGTCGAGTGCAGGGCTTAGGAGGTTCTGCAGCATCAAGATAATCCATCAAAGGGGAACAGGAGGGACCCTTAATGGGGACCCCTACCCTATAATGGGCTATATAATGGGTATATAATAGCTATATGAAGGGTATATACCCAGGGGTCCTTATTGAGGGTCCCTCCTTTTACCCTTTCAATCCAAGGCAGACTAACGCCCAATGCATTGCGGGAGCGACCAAGAGCTCCTACTTTGAATCCCCGGTCCCTACATGACCGTAGTTTTTTTTTAAACTATACTATGCAGTATACCTCCTAGTCCCTATTGTACTTCGTCTGGAAGCCTAAACCCTGAAAGCTTGAAGCATAAGCCCCCGAATTCCTAAACCTTAAGCATCCCACCTAACAGCTACCACTCGCAGGACATCCCGCCGCAGCCGACCCGGTTCGGCAGAGCAGTCGCTCAGCTCACCCACCTTGACTGTTCGCGTGCTAGTGATTGTTGGTAGTTGAATCGAGGCGGTCGTTTCCCAGGTTTCCTTGTCTCTTTTACTGCAAAAAACAAACCCGAGTTGTAAGACAAGCCCCTATAGTATCCTCCCACGGTTCAGAAGGCATTGCATCAGGGTTAAGGGCCTTCTTGCTTAGGAGATTCCAGCAGCTGGTCTACAAGAGAGAGGAGTGTTGTATTTGGGTGTACACAGAGAGCCCAATATCCTTTAATTAAGATTATATAGGGCTTCATATTATGATTTAAGCTATATTCCTTAATCAAGGGGTATTGGGCTCTCTGGGTGAGGAGTATAGGATGGAGGACTCAGGGCCGATTGGCAGCTCGTTTTCAGATTGAGGCGAAGAATCCACGTCGACATAATCTGTGCTTTACCGACGGATTCCTCTCCTAAACCTTATCAGCGAAAACTTCACAGACGGAATAAATCCTGATCTCCAGCTTATTTATACCTGCTCTCTTGTGTTCTGCAAGCTTCACCATGGGCCAGAAATTCTGACCATTTCTTGCGTGTCTCACAGAGGTCTGCTGTGCGTTCTGGCCAACTCCCACGACTGCATGTTAACGTGGGGGTCAACTATAAGATATTGTAAGATACTATGAGCTGCTATACTATACTATACTGCAATACTATGACAGACCAAGATAGTATAAGATACTTCAAGCTACTTAAATCAGCGATGCAGGTCTTGATACTCAGGCCAGCGTTGTGGCGTATGTTGTGGTCTGCTCAAGGGAATCTTGTTACTAATCATCCAAACTTCTCCATGACGGCCGTTGTAGAATCTCAGTCTCAGGTGGAGTGGCGTTGCGGTCCTTACAAAATCTTGCTGGGCTGCGACCTAGTTGTCCTCCGGAGTGCCGAAGCAGAGCCGCAGCAAGGGGGCGGCGATTGTCAGAAGACTTCCGTGGATGGACCCGGAACATTCTGAAACGCAAACCTTAAACACAAAACCCTACACTGGCCCTACACCGTGTCTATCGCTAAGGGCTGGAGGACGCCTTTCGACTCTGTAGAGCCACCAAACCGGTTGTGAAACACACCCGCATCCTAACTTCTTGCACGGTCCCTGTTATGGTTTAAAATGTATAAGACCATGTTGCAGACTGTCGGGTTGCCCCGGTGGCTTCAGGTTGCTTTCTTTTTCCCGGGGTTGGGGTTTACTTGAGAAGCCCGAATCATTAGTAAGATTGTTCCCTAGGGTTCCTGTATAGTAAGAGTGTAGTACCAGAGAGCCCAATACCCCTCAATTAAAGAATACGGCTTTTAAATTATATAGGGCTTCATATTAATTTAAGCCATATTCCTTAATTAAGGGGTATTGGCTCTCTGGGAAAACCCCTTAGCACTGTTTTAACTAGCCAGGGCCTCAAAACTACCCATGCAGGGCACAGGGCTCCAGGGTCATGGACTCCAGGCTTTGGGGTCGCGAAATTGGATCCGATTGGTGCCTTGTAAGTACATTCCCAAAGTCACCTCAAGACCGTACCGGGAACCTTAACACTAGAGGGCCTGTAATGAACGACCATATGTAAGGGAATACTACCCCCCGCATTTGAGACTTCTACATTATACGGACTCTCAGAAGTAGTTTCATGCGCACGCAAAATTTGTAAGCCATGTTGATTGTGCACAGAGCTTGAGCAAGCTTCCGCCAGCGTTTCGAGTCGTGGTGTTTTGTAGGATTTCTTTGGGGGTTTTGGGCTAGGGTGCAGGCCTCCGAGGGGTTGAGAAAGTTCTAGAATTTTGTGGTGCATGGTCTAGAGCATGAAAAGCAGGGCTTCGAATGCGAAGCGCTTTTTGCATCCGCCTACCCTAATCCCCCGGACCCTGAACCCTACCCATGCCCTAAACCTCTCCTCAGGATCAAAGTGATCTCACCGATTTCGCGTCCTTTAAGCTCCTAGCCTGGGATTTCGGGGCTTTGGAGTCTTCAAAGGAACCTTTAGAGTTTAGGGTTTAGGGTTTAAGGGTTTAAGGGTTTAGGGTTTAGGGTTTAGGTGTGGGGGGTTCAGGGTTTAGGGGGTTTTGGTTGAGGGGTTTACGGGTTTGGGGTTCAGCGTTTCGCTCTGGGATTTCATGGTTTACGGCTTGGGTCTTGCGTTTGGGCTGCAGGGTGCAGGGTCCTGAACCGTAAGCCCTAAAACCTTAACTCTAACCCCTAAACCCTAGACCCTAGCTCCTTGGGTTCGGGTTGGTTCGGGGTTTCATGGCGAGTTCAGTTTAGGAGTTTAGGAGTTTAGGGTTTGGGGTTTAGGGTTCTAGACTCTCATAAGAGTTAGTCATCCGAAGCGGCCTCGGCCGCATAGGATCTTTGGGGATTCGGACTGCACGGCACTGGAACCACTGTCTGTGAGTTTGTTGGGCACGGTTAGGGTTTCTAATTTCGTGATGGAGGCTCAGGTTTGGGGCTTTAAGCCCAGCCGGAGCACCAAAACCATCATTTCAATAGTTTCAGAAGATCAGTGGGATTTGTATTGTATCAAAGCACTCCTACACAAGAAAGCCTCAGATTTCAGACGCCACATCCCTGGCTATTAGAATCCACCTGATGAGCCAGGCAAACGAGATCATGGGTCTAGAACTCGAAAAGTTGACGCAGGGGTTTGAGGGAATGTGGCTTCAGGGCTCAGGCGTGTTGGGATTTAGGGTGTTTTGAGGGTTGAGGGGGTTGGGTTGTGTAGTATTATGTAGGGTTTACGGGTTTAGGGGTTCAATGGTTTGTTTGTTCTTGCATGTTTCGGGCTCTAGGTGTGCAGCGACTAGGGTTCTCCCGGTTTCGGTCTTCAGTTCTTCAGGGGCTGTAGATGGCACCTGGGTAGTTCTCTAAATTACGGTTGATGGTATAAATCCAGCATTACCCATAATTAGGAATATACCATGAATCCCATCGTCTAGGGTCCTTAAGGTAATGCAGGATTAATATCATCCACAGTAGGGCCCCCTTTTTGCAAACCTTTTGAAAAAGAAACCGACTCCTGTCTGATGGCCTTTCGCAACCGAAAGCCGTAAAATCTAAACGCTGTGCAGATCCAAGTTTTGCTTGGGATGGTCACTGGGAATATAGGAACCTGATTAAGAAACCCTGGGTCTAAGTGCGTTGCAGGCCTCCCATGACTTTGGGTTTATGGGGTCAGAGTTTCTTAAGCAGGCTCCTACATTAGACACTGACAGGTACATGGGAGAATCCTCCAAGTAGTAGGATCTTGTTGCCAGCCGGGATTCGGAATACAGCTTCGTGTTTTATGTTTAGGGCAAATCCCGAAACCCTGAAAAAGCAACTCCCAGGCTTATGGCGCCCAATGTAACCCATCCTTCCAAAGAGGAGCCACTGGTCAGCCACATCGTGATGTTTTGTTCTGGGTTTTGGCAGGGTTTCGGCTTTTCGGGCTGGGGGCTAGGGTTTTGGGTTTGGATGAATCCCTTCCGGTTTGGTGGCTTTGGCAGAGTTAATTATTCGGGTTTTGACACTAAGCCCGAAACTCTAAACCATTCGAGGCCCAGGTTTGAGGGCTTCGGGGTGAGACCCAGGCCTTACGCAGAGGGCCTTGTCCTTCCCGTTTCTTGCGTCGCTTTACTGGTTCTGTGAACTCAGTCTGCCCTGGCCCTGAGCCGTAAACTGAACCCATCTGAACCCCCTCGCTTCATAGGCCGAGGGCAAGCTCGTCCATAGATTCGTCAAGGCAAGTGCCTTTAGAGGAGTCTGCAGATGGGTTGCGCGTTTCTGGTCAAGGCTTGAACGAGACCGGGCAACAGCATGCACCAAGCCGCAAGTACTGCAGCTTACCCCATAGGCGCGACCCCAGGCCTAAACCCAATGCCTTACAATCCAAGGGCCTGATAAACCTCGAACTCCGGATAAGAAGCGTGCAGCGCCTCGGTGAAAAGCACTCAATTTTTCCTAAGGAGACTGGACGTGTACTTAGAGAACACCATGTGCGACATCACAAAGGCTGGCTTACACATTGCAGGGCTGTTGTGGCATTAGCGTGTTCTAGGGATTTTATTCTTGTGAGTGTTGGTGTTTTGGCCTAGGGCTTACGTTTTTGTAATTTGTGTGTGTGTTTTTTTTTTTGGGGGGGGGGGCGAGTCGTGAGGGTTTAGGGCTTGATCTGTAACGCGTTTCGGAATTGACTCAGTTTTCGTTCAACGGGAAACCATGGCTCGTGCCGTAGAAGTGAGCTCTTTCGTTTCAATGGGCCAGCTGAGCCCGCAGGCACTCAAAGCGCAGGCAAGTGCTGAGCCCTAAATCCTAAAACCCTTAACCCTACAACCCTAAACCCTAAACCCTAAAACCCTAAACCCTATATCCCTAAAACCCTAAACCCTATATCCCTAAAACCCTAAACCCTATATCCCTAAAGCCCTAAAGCCCTAAAACCCTAAATCCTAAAACCCACACCCTGACTCAAGCATCCTCAGCCCTGAAAGTCCACATCTCTTACCTTTGGTCAGTAGGGAATGGAAGGGGCCTTATAAAGGGGTCTATAAGGGCTACTCTAAGGGATCTATAAGGGTACTATAAATGGAGGAATGGGGTACAAGTACAACTACTATTACTACCATTCTTCCATTCCCTACTAACCAAAGACAAGATCTTAAATCCTCACCCTTCAACCTTTAAGCCCTAAGAAAGCCCTGCAGCCCCAAAGCGTAAGTAGAACGCTTCAAACCCATCCTACATGCTACGACTCTCACCTTAAAAAACCCTAAGCCCTAAACCTTAAAGCCTAAACCCTAAGCCCTAAAACCCTAAACCCTAAATCCTGAACTCCTAAGCCCCTGGGAAGAAAGAGTCCAAAAGAAAAAACTCCTAAACCCTACTGCGCCCTCGGAGGTGGTTTGGGGCTGCCCACAGGGGGAGGCGATGTCGTGGTCGGCCACTGGGTAAGAAGGGTTCTCGAAGCCCCACGGTTTAGGGTTTAGGGTGTAGGGTTTAGGGTGTAGGGATTAGGGTTTAGGGTTTTTTAGGGTGTAGGGTTTAGGGTTTTTTAGGGTGTAGGGCTTAGGGTTTGGATGCCGAAGCAAACCCAAGGGCCAAGCGTAGGCTCTGGGTTTCACGTTTTGTTGTGTCGGGTTTGGGATTGTGGCTGAGGGTGGGGATTCTTTGCGTGGATTGGTGCACCTGTTTCGCTTGCATTTCGCTGGATACTTCTGATCTGCGGCATGAAATTTAGAACAGTGCCGGAATAGTTACCCACACGATTCCTTAGGGATCCGTATTATAATCATGCTAGAAATAACGCCGTTCCAAAAAAGACTCATTTCAAGTATTCAAGCTCCTATATTGGAATAGCCCTCCTTGCCTCCGCATCCCTCCGGCCCGAGATCCTAAACTCAATATCCTAATCCGGTTGGAGGTATGCAAGGCTCTTGTGTTTTAGGTTCTTGTAGGTGTAGGATCGTAGTTAGTATTCTGGGATAGCGTGGAAGTCCACGTAGCTTAGCTAGAACTTGGGATGCCGTAGGTGAAAAGCTTAAACCATGCACACTCTAGACCCCAAACATTCAAAACTCCAGGTCTCCAATTGCAAACCCTAAATCCTATAGTCTCCTTAGGAATTATGTTGTATTTTTGTTCATATAGAACCCAAGAGCATATTAAAGATACTTTCATTATGGTTCTAAGGGGGGGTGTAGCAGCCTAAACCCCAAATCCTACAACCCTCATCCGTGTCTCGCCGTAAGTGACTGCTATCGGTTGATGATATAAATCCTGCATGACCCAGAGTAAGGAATATACCATAAATCCCATAGTTTAGGGTCCTTAAGGTAATGCAGGATTTATATCATCAGCCCTAAAGCCTAAAGCCCCTATAGATCCCTTAAAGGAAGCCCTTAAAGGTATCCCTGTAGGTCCCTTTAAAGGAACCCTAGGGATTTATATCATCAACAGTATGCCGTCTTCGGTCGTGCAGCTTTGGAGTTTCAGGCTTCAGGCTCAGGGGCTTAGGATCTGGGGTTTTGGGGTTGAATAGTGATGATAGACATTTTTTTAAATAGTATCAATACTCATAATACTAATAATAACGATAAAAAACAATACTTAATAATTGTTTTCGGATTTAAGATTTAGAGACTTGGGGCTTTGGGGGGGTTTAGTTTAGGGTCTAGGGCTGAGGAGACTGAGTGCTCGAGCACCGGAGGTCTGCAACACAGCCGATCTGCCACAGAGCTCAGGACGCCAGCGCTGCCGAGAGGGTTTAGTTTAGGGTGTAGGGGTTTTAGGGTTCAGGGTTTAGTTTGGGGTTTAGGGGTTGAAGGGTTTAGGGTTCAGTTTGGGGTTTAGGGTTTAGGGTTGTAAGGGTTTAACAACTCGAATAGCGTTCGCGGGTAGAGGATGCTCGTTGCTCGAAGTAGCTTTCTCAAGTAGCAGAAAAGTGGGTTGGGGGTTCAGGGTTTGCGTAGGGCGTCAGTTCAGAATCACGGGTCTGAGTGTCGAGGGGTTCAGTGGTGTTGGGGTCTAAGGGTTGTAGCCGCCATGCAGAACCCCTCAGCTTAACCCTAAACCCTAAACCCTAACTCCAATGATGGCCGTATAAGAACGAACGGTGTTCGATGCGGCAACCGTTGAAAGCATCTTGCGCTCACTCCAACGGAACGAGGACGCGAGGCGCAAAACAGCGGGTTTCCGGGACTCCAGTTCTGGGACTCGTTTTTTTGCCGCCGGTTTGGCATCGCATGCATATGCCTGCCACGAGAAGAACCTGCCAGGTCTTCGGTAGGGACGCTGCTGTGTCATGGACGCTGCAGCACCTGCACCAGCACCGGCAGCAGCACCAGCGGACCTGCTGGTGTTGCCACAGGACGCTCTTATCACGCCACATCTTCGTTCTGTGTGCATGCTTGTTAGCAGGAGACACTTGCTGTTTTTTGAAGATGGTGTGAGGTGGATCGAATATGGAAAAAGGGCCCCAAACCGTCTAAACCCTAAGCAGAGGAGTTCAAACAATAGAACTCTGAACCCTAGTAAACCCTGGAGCTTAAACTCTAAACCCCTACAACTCTAGAGCCTGAGTTCACTGAGTTCTAAACCCTAAACTCGAAACCCTAAACCCTAAACTCTAAACCCCGAGCCCGAGAATGTAAAGGGCTGTCGTATGGACCAGGAGAAGCCGAGAGATTCGACCCGGATCGCCTCCAGGCACGTGGGGGTTTCGAATCTGCATCTGAGAGTTTCCGAAAATAGGGGGTACTTTATTTTGGGGTCCTTATAATACGGATCCTACTCTTTAGGGTATCATATGAGGGTCCCCTATTTTCGGAAACTCCCACATGGTTTCGAATCTGCATCTGGGGGTGTACATCTTACGTTGTAGGGTTTGGGGTTTAGGTTTTGGGGTCGAGGGTTTATGTGGATTTTACGATTTACGTGGGTTTGAGTGTACGTATCACGGTTTGGGATATAGGGCAGGTCTTCAGTGAGGGTGTAAGGTTCTGGTTTATAGATTTAACGGTTGAACTATTGGGGGTTTCTGGGGTTTGGAACAGCGATTTTGCATGTCGAGGTTTTAATGTTTAGGGTTTCTGTGTCACTGTTTTGGACTACGTGGTCTGAGCAGTCTTAACTTTCGTTAATCAGTGCTCTCCGGCTCTATAGGTCAGGGTTGCGGCTTGGTTCGGAATTCAAGGGCTTTGCGGTTTCATGTCCAGTAAATAAGGAATGACAGAGAGACTTGACAAGAACGAGATGGAGTGGGTCTGTCGTTTAAGTTATGTGTTATGGGCTGTTGAAATTCGGGGACTTAAGACTTAGGGTCTTCGGGTTTGAGGATTGAAGGTTTGGGGGTTCCGCGACTTCGGATGTAAGGGTCATGATCCGGCCCCGAAAACCTGTATGAACCCGATCGTTGTCGAACCTCGCAGTGAGCAGGGATCCCTAGCCACATCTCGAGGAGCATGGGCAGCAACTTCTGCACTTTCTCCGTCAGCGACTTGCCTGTGAACTTGCGTCAAAGCGCTGGGCAGGAGAGTGTTTTTGGTAGCTTGGCGCCATGTTGCGGAGCTCTCCTTCGGTGAACTTTTTCTAAAAAAATGTAAATACAAGTCCGACGTAACAGTACAGCAGGCTAACAGACGTACCGCAGTCGGGGTGATTACGATCCAAGCACTTTCAACGGCCGTGAAGTGTGACGTCCGAGCCCGAACTCGCCATCGCCAGGTCTTCAGAGCCCTGCACACGACCCCAGACCAATGACATGAAGGGTCTTTTTCCTTACCTTTGGTTCGTAGGGAATGGAAGAATGGTAGTAATACGGTTGATGATATAAACCCTGCATTACCCATAGTAAGGAACACACCATAAATCCCATAGTTTAGGGTCCTTAAGGTAATGCAGGATTTATGTCATCAACAGTAGTAGTTATATTTGTATCCTATTCCTCCATTCCCTATTAATCATAAGGTGAGTTTCAGCCTCTGTCGCCCACTAAACACGCACCTGAGCCCCAAACACTAAGCAAAGGCCTGGCCGGCAGACACCAAGCCAACTTCTAGGCCAAAGAGCCACAAACCAAACCCACACGTTCTGAAGATACAAGATTCTGATATGGCGAGCCGCAGGGTTCCAACTAGAGCCCACTCTCCATCCTGATTCTTTAGGGTTTAGGGTTTAGCGACCTTCAATCAATCCTGATTCAGACAGGCGATGCCGCCGGGAAGGTGGCACATACTGGCTCTTTCGTGAGCAGACGCTGGGACTGCACCAGGCGATCATGCTAAACCCTACTTGCAGGTTCATGGGTAGTTCTAAGGGTTCCTTTAAGGGACCCTTTGAAGAGATCTATAGGATTCTATAAGGGTATAGGGTTTGCAGGGTTTAGGGTTCGTGGGGAGTAAGACGTGGGGTTATAAGTCAACGAATAATAAGGGTTAGATGTATAGGTACCTTATAGTTACAACCCCACTTATAACTACTCATGAACCTCCGAAGTACACCTTCGTGGTCAGGCTGTCCAAAACATACACGGCCCCGCACTCTAAACCCTGAGCCCTAGACATGAAACCCCAGAGCCTGAGCCATCCTCCTGTTTTGTTGCTCTGAGGTCCTGAAGCCCGGAATCCGAAAGCCTGGATGGGAGCTTCAAAAACAGACCCTCAACCCTAAAAGCCCAAAGGGCTTGAAGCTTCAGGGAAGCGGTCCGAAGTTGTAGGGTTTAGGCGCAAGGTCTAGGGTTTCGGGCTTACGTTTTGGGGTTTCGGGCTTAGGCCTGAGGGCGAAGGTACCGGATTAGAGGATCCAGATGCTTTCGGTTTCAATCTCTTCGCTTGGAGCCGCAAGCCTCAGGCAGCACTGCACCGTTCGTCGGTCTGATATGCCAGGGAGCTGCTCCAACACAGCCCAAACACTAGGGCTTCTAGGCCCTAAACCCTGAACCCTAAACCCTGGAAGAAACGGGCCTCGAAAGTATCCCCGTACTACTACTGTACTACTGTACTACTATTGTACTACTACTGTACTACTGTTGTATTACTATTGTACTACTGCACTATTAGGGCCCAGATTGCCTCACCAGAAACTGAGGAACAGCTCCCGAGCGGAACTCTTCGACATTAGCAACTCCGCAGAGCGGGAGGTGCCTGTGGGACTTAGTAAGTATGGTTATAAGTTATAAGTACCCTAATTGGGGTTATAAGTGGTAATAGGTATAGTTACCCTAATTATACTGTAGGGTTAAGCGGGTTCAGGGCTTAGGATGAAGGGCAAGTGGGCGTGGCTTAAGCTTAGGTCTTCTTTGTCGGTGCAGGGACATGTTTTGCTTCGTTTGTGATTCCTAGCATTGTAAAACAAAGCCCGTGACAAGCAGGCATCTTCATCTACTTGCCCGTGTTCTTTCTTGGGAGAGTTTGTAGCTTGAAGCAAGGGGTTCTGGCTTTGTAGAAATCAGCACTGTTCTTACACGTCAAGGCTTGCAGGGGGGCTCAGGGTGATCATGGTCATGGTGATGATGAGGATGATGATGGTGGTGGCGACGCTTCCTCTTCTTCTTCTGCTGCTGCTGCTGCGAAGTATAGTTTACTAGTCTTCGCCACCAGGACTATGATGAACAGCCGGTTTGAATGGAGCTGTTATTGGTTCTGTTTTCGTCCGGTTGCTATATTCGCTTATGGGTATTCTGACGACGACTAGGGCTTGCTAATGTTTCCTTGTCGTCCTGCTGCTTCTGGCGATAATGTTGAACGTGAAGAAGCTACGATGAAGTCTTCGCATCTAGCAGCTGGTAGTCCTTGATGCCCTGAGCCCGACCCAAACTGCCAGGACGAAGACGGCAACTGGGAAACCTCAGCAGCTTTCAGGCAGCCTTGCATGCGAGTTCTTCGGGGGAAAAATGCGAAGCTTCGGGTGCAGGTTGTTTGGGGAGGAGCTCCCCAAACCCTAAAGCCCTAAGTGCAAACCCTAAACCCCTAAAGCATTAAATCCCTAAACCCTATAAACCCTAAACCCCTCAAGCCCTAAACCCCTAAACCCTATAAACCCTAAACATCCCTAAACCCTATAAACCCTATGAGCCCTAAACCCTAAACCCTATAAGCCCTAAACCCCTATAAACCCTAAACCATAAACCCTATGAGCCCTAAACCCTAAACCCTACAAGCCCTAAACCCCTATAAACCCTAAACCATAAACCCCATAAGCCCTAAACCCCTAAACCCTAGGCGCTCCTTAAGTCAGGTTTCATGAGTCTCGAGTTCGGAGTCTACTGTAGGGTCCGGGGCTGGGATGCTTGGTCCGTGCAGCACTGACAAGCCTAGACCCACCCGGCCTCGCTCTTCCTTAACCTTGAAACCGAAACCCCAATGTCGAGATTTAGGGGCGTTAAGGTTTAGGGTTCTCTAAACCCTAAACCCTAAACTGTAAACCCTAAACCGGATGCTGGAAAGTTATGTGTAAGCCGAGTTCGGGCAGGCTGAAAAGTCACTACGCATTAAAAAAACTTAAACTGAAACCCTCACACTCCCCCTAGTAGTAGAGTAGGTAACCTTTAGCCTGTTTTGGGTTGTATAGTCCTTATATCAACCCCAATGTAAGCAAAAAGGTTAACCTTGAGTTCCCCATGATACCCGACAAGTAGGTCCCTGTCTTCACCTTGAAGCGAAATGGGAGTTTCCGAAAATGGGGACCCTATTACTTATGGTACCCCACATAGTAGGATCCTTATCATCAGGACCCCAACATATGGTACCCCTAATTGTCGGAAACTCCCTAAACCCTAAACCCAAAACCCTAAACCCAAAGTAAAGAGGACTTCGCCCTCCCTGGCGACACCCATCGCCTCCTTGTGCTTCCACCTCTCCAAGTCCATGTCGCGGCTCGTCCGTGTTTGTTAGTTTGCTGGGGTTTGAGCGGTTGAGGGTTTAGAGGGTTTAGGAGTTTGGGGTTTAGGGGCTTAGGGTTTAGGGTTTAACCCTAAACCCTAAACCCCTAAACCCTAAACCCTAAATGGCGTTTAGGGGTTTCGGGTTTTCGGGCATCGGATCAGCGAGGTTCAGGATTTGGGATTTCGGTTGGAGGAGCCTTGGTTTTCAAAGTCTCGACTCGTAGGATTTATACTTTCTTTGAGGGGATGTTACGACTCTTGCCAGAGTGTGGATGGGTTTCCAAGTCACCAGGGGGGGTAGGGGGGTTAAGATTTTGTGTACTATCACCGCTACTATGCTCATTGTTATGGTATTACTATCATCATGACATTATTGCTGCTAACTATGGTTTAGGGTTTCAGGTTTAGGGAGTTGGAGGGGAAAGGTACTCGCTTTGCCAGTTTGCTTGCTTGAGGGTTCCTGTCTACGAAGCGCAAACTCGCCTCCTGCGCAGGTCGTCATCGTCATGGTATTGCTCGTAGTGCTAGAGCTAGTACTGTTCATGGTGCCCCGTACGGTGTCACAGGAGACGACTCTACATCACCTCATTATCGCCTAAACCCCACACCCTAACCCCTAAACCCCAAACCTGAACCCCAAATCCCAAACCCTAAACCCAGAAGGCTGTATAGTTTGGCACCCATACGTCTCCCGTGGGGCTCTCCGAAGTGGTTCTAGGCTAGGCCATCGTTTCTAAGCCGAGTCGTGGGTTTGACATCCAGTATCACTTTCCTTCTGTGCTTCGTTACTCTTCCTGCTTAGTCACTGAGGCAAGATTCTGACCAGCGACAACTACTTCAGAAGGCCATTCTAGATGCATCCCGTTTCTTATGGCCGTGCATACTACAGATTCCCAGTACTAAACTTTACGAACGGCAATATCCTTCCACGAGCAACAGATTAAAGTTCCCAGCCAAACAACCTCCAAGGCCAATACCCAACTCCCAAAAGCGTAGAGCCCTCTTTGATCCCCGATGGACCCCAAATCGAACCTTGAACCTCTTTGAGGTTCCATGCTTAAGCACGATATGTAAGGCAATTTGTCGCTGTTCTGAAGCACGTTCATTCTACTGCACCCACCGTCATAGTGCGTCCCCTCGTAAGGGCCAGAATCTTGCAACAGGCCGCCTAAACCCTAAACCCTGAACCCAAACTCTGCACCCTAAACCCTGAACCCAAACTCTACACCCTATACCCTGAACCCAAAACCCTAAACCCTAAATTTTAAACCCTAAACCCAAACCCTAAACCTTCTTCAGAAGCCCCAGTATCATTCATAAACGAGCCTGCGCCATGAGTGTATATACTGTCGTTCTTTCATCGATTTAGAGCTCGTGTTTGCATTGATTCCTGTTCTTTCGACTCGCAGTCATATATACATGCATGTATGCACGTATGTATGTATTCATGCGTGCATGTGCATGTCTCTGCGCATGTGTATGTGCAGATGTAGTTGTAGATATGTGTCCCTTTTGGTCTTTCCGGCGCATTTATTCGCCAGGCAGGACCCCATACCCCTAAACTCCAAACCCTAAGCCCCAAGCCCAGAAGCACGATTTCTGTTTCCTGTCGCTTGTTTTCCACGGTTGAGCTGAACTGCCCAGACCCGGGTTTCCGAATTTCCGGGCTTCGGTAAAGGTCTAACGTTTCGGGTATAAGGTTCGGGGGTTTCGGGTTTTCGGTTTTGGGTTTCGGGTTTTGGGTGTTGGGGCTTAGGCTTCAAATTTGTGTGAGTCCATGCGAGTTCCATATACCCATCCCGGAACTAACTAAGTACCCAGACCACCAGTCCCGCCACAGAGGGCAAAACCTGGAATGCCACCCCATGCCCTAAACCCTACTTAGAGGATCATGGGACTTAGTAAGTAGGTTATAATTGGGGTTATAAGTCCCCTAAGTGGGGTTATCCTAATTATATCCTACTTATAACCTTACTTACTAAGTCCCATGAGCCTTCAAGTAAGCTCTGGACTCTGAAGATATGATCCCAAAGAGGCCACGCAGCTGCTAGAGCCGCTTCAGGAAGAGCAGTGTCTCGAACAGCAGTGGATTTTGGGACTTCGGATGGTCATTAGGGTTCCGCTTAGGGTACTATTCGGATTACACGGACATCGGGTACTGCCCCCATACGGCCACAGGCTATAACAGGGCTACCACTGAGGCCTATATTATAGACAACTCTTCGATTGTTACTGAGTGGGGGCAGATCCAGATTACACACTTCTCGCAACCCTAAACCCTAACCACGCCCTTGACCTAGCCGGCCGGTTGGTGTGTTGTAAAGGTGAATCTTGATTGCGAGTCTTTTGTCTCCTGCAAATAGGGTGTCCCATTGGAGCAGAAAGTCTGGACATCGTTGCCGGCCTGTACCTGACCTTTAACTGGAGCCGCACCGACACAGAATCCTCAGGCGCTACTAGATGGGTTATTCCTCTTTTCTGTATTAAAGATCCCGAGGCACAAACCCAAAATCCTCACCGTAATGTGGCAGAGGTATGGGCTCTACGCCACCGCGGCCCTTCAACTGGCGTGGCTTGTCTTCTTGGTTGCATCTCCACGGTTTCAGGGGTGTTACCTTGCTGCACACTGCACATAGGGCATGAGGCTGAGGATTTGGTATTTCGGTTCAGGGTTTAGGGCAAGTTCAGGGTTCAGGGTTCTGTTTACATGGACTCTGATTCAGAACCATCCGTTAACTCAATCTCGAGGTTACCGCCATCTTCGAGAGTTTGCAAAACCAAGCCTCTCATCTCAAACGGCCCAAACTGTAACGTCCCAAGCCGAACGTGCTTTGCCCGTAAAACCTGATCCCAGACCTTCAGCTTAAAACCCCGGAACCCAAAAGCCCAACAGCCTCTGCTTCGCTGAAAGCCACCCTAGACCCTAAACCCGAAACCCGAAACCCTAAACCCTAAGCCCCAAACCGAAACCCTAAGCCCTAAACCCGAAACCCTAGACCCTAGACCCTAAACCCTAAACCCGAAAAGCTAGACCCTAAACCCTACACCCTAAACTAAACCCGAGACCCTAAACCCGAAACCCTAAACCCTAAACCCTACGCCCTAAACCCTAAACCCTAAACCTTATAATCTGACCCCTCCCCCCCCCCCCCCCCCCCCCCCCCCCCCCCCCAGGTGCTCGTACATGCGCACGCCGGTGGCTGCCATATCGGACAAGGGCTCCTCAGTCGCTGCGCCTCCTGGTGGCTTGGGCTCATAAAAGCGGCTTTTTTTGTAGGTACTATAGGGGCCTTGATACTTACCTCTACGATTTTGGGGGTTCCTTTTCATAATCACAGTATAATATAACCCCAAACCCTATTCTAGGTGGCTTGGGCTCATAGAAGCGGCTTTTTGTCTGTAGGGTTTAGGGTTTTGGGTTTAGGGTTTAGGGTGTAGGGTTTTGGGTTTAGGGTTTAGGGTTTTGGGATGATACAAGCAGCTTTTTGTCTGTAGAGGCTGAATACCTAGTATTTTGTTTAGGACTTACAGGGCTTTTAGGGTTTAGGGTTTCTAGGGTTTCTAGGGTTTAGGGTTTTGGGATGTTTTGGGTTTGGGATTTAGGGTTTAGGGGGCTGGATATGTAGAATTTATTGGGCTTGCCGAATACGTCGCGAGTAGAAAATCCTTCTATATGATCGCTCCAAACCAACCAGGCAAAGCCCCAGCTGCAGCGCGTCTGAGTGTGGCGATGCGCTACTTAGAGAAGGCCTGGCCGCTGGGTTGTTTGGGGCTTCAGGGATACTATGCAGGGCTACGGCAAAGGGCTACGATAAGGGCTAGTACAGGTTGCCAAACAGGTTGCTACAGGGCTTTAGGGCCAGGCACGGGGTTTAAGTTCAGGCATGCTGCATTCGGAGTTTAGTGATTTAGGCTTGGAGTTCTCGAGGCCTTGGGATTCAGGACTCTAGGATTCAGGATTGCGAGCCAAGCTCCAGGCACGAATCCCAAAGGCACCCGGGATACCTCGTCGTATCCTGCTTCCCAAAATGTGGGATCTAGGGTGAGAATCGTGTTTAAACCCCAAGCCCGACACCCGAAACTGTGCTTCACCCTTGAAAGATCTGTGCCGAAGGCCTATCTCAGAAGTCTTCGCGGTTGAATGACGTCCTAGGCCCCCTAGCGGCAGCACCCCTAAGCTTGAAAAATCATGGGTTTACGGGGGTTTGGGGTTTGGGGTTTAGGGTTGAGTAACCATCACCTATGTCGAACCACCAGAGGGCTAGAGCTGCAGTAAGAAAAGAGGACCCTAATGTAGTACCCTAAATATTCGGATCCATTCTATAAGGACCCAAGAAGAATAACTCTCCAGGTCCAGCGCTTTCGAAGGCCCGCAAAATCCCGGTTTTCAACCCGAATCCCTCGTCCCTAAACCCGGCGCGAAGGCCCAACCCCGTTGGGACCAAATCAAGCACCTCCACAGCGGAGCCAGAACATGTCTGAAGCATCAAGGGAGTTCAATATGGGAGCTTTCGAAAGTTAGGGGTACCTTAGTTTAGGGTCCTTATAGTATGGATCCTACAATTTAGGGTACTATACTATATTAGGGACCCCTATTTTCGGAAACCCCCACTTGTGCAGGGCCCCAATTTCGATCGCAAGTCTGCAGTGATGCTTGTTGACAGCACTCCTACTTAAAGGATCATGGGACTTAGTAAGTAGGTTATAATTGGGGTTGTAAGTCCCCTAAGTGGGGTTATCCTAATTATAACCTACTTATAACCTTACTTACTAAGTCCCATGAGCCTTCAAGTAAATAAGGTTCGCCGAAACAGCGAAGCCTGCATAGCCAGCTTTTTCTCTCGCCTTTTATAACCTCCCAGAAATCAAGAAGCCCCCGCAGAACGCACATGTCTGGATGGTAGGTGCTTCGGCTACTGAGCAGCCTGAGCGACGATGCCTCCACTTTGCGTGCAGGGCTGCTGCTTCAAGGGCAGGCTCTTCGATGACCGGATTTTTTTTTGGGATTCGTAAGCCCTGAAACATACACGAGCCCGCAACAGCCACTCGCGAAACCATCAAAGAACCGTGAACCCAAAGCCCTTGAGCCTTAGACTACTTCAGCTATCGGCTCTCTCAGTTCAAGTTTAGGATTAGTCAGGGTTCCCCTGGTAGGAGTTCCCGTCAGAAAGATCCCTTTAACAGGATTTCCTGTTTGGGACTTGGTTATTATTTGTCCAAGATTCCGGGCTTCTATGCTATCCCTCTTTAGGGGTCGAGGGTTTAAGTTGCTAAGTTTCGGAACTTCCGGAGCGCTGTTTGCTTAAGGGGCTTTTGGAGCCGCACTTGCACCGGAAGCTCTGAGCCCTATGCCCAACGCTGCGAAACCCTGCCTAAGGGTGTTCCTCACGGCCTTTAGGGCTCCAGGATTTTAGGTTTGAGGTTCAGGGTTTGGAGTTTTGGGTTGAGAGTACATAGGGTCCAGGGTTTAGGTTTCAGGAGTTTAGGTTTTAGGGTCTAATGTTTAGGGTTCAGGGGTTAAGAATTTAGGGTCTGGGGTTTAGGGTTCAGGGGTTTATGGTTTAGGGACACGTAGGCAACATGCAAGGCAGGATGCGAAGTTAGCAAAGCAGCAAGTCTTTGTTTGATGACACACATGCAAGTCTGCAAGCGTTGCATTGTCCTGTACTGTTCCGGGGTGCATGCATGTTTCTTGTGAAATGCAGACTTGATTGTGCGGACAGGAATGCACGAACACATAGTTTGTTTACACATGTACACACGCATGTCTGTGATTTGGTCTGACTTTCAGTCTCTCCACCTCGTTTCATGTTGGCCTGTGGTCAGCAATGATTTAGCACATCTCCATGGATCATCGTCAGACAACACAGGCAACGAGCACCCATCAATCAACACCCTCATAGACTTCTCCACAACACAAGATGCGACCTTCTTGATCTTGAGAGGTGGCATACGCCGAATGCATCCTCAAGTTGGTGAAGGAGGCGCGGTGCCGGGCCGGGGACTAGTGATCGGGTTAAGTTTAGGGTTTATAGAGTTAAAACCGACATGATCGGCCTGAACAGAGTGTGCTCGAAGGACAGGAAAAAGTACTATAGGGCCCTAAATAAATACCAATACGATTCTAGGGGTTCCTTATTATTATAGTATAATGGACCCCAGAACCCTATTCTGAATATTAAGGCCCCTCCTTTCGCAGGCACCGACGCGTCAGATTTTACTTGGAGGTTCATGGGCAGTTACAAGTGGGTTATAAGTGGGGTAACTATACTTATATCCCTTATTAGGGGACTTACAACCCCACTTATAACACCCATGAACCTCCAAATATTGATCATTCAACAGCCTTGCATAGCATGCAGTATGGGGGCCCTGGAAATGAGAACAGGGTTTCGGCGAAAATTCGTCATTTTTCTGTAGTCATACCCTGCACCGCACGGCTTAGATTCAAGAGCTTAGCGCTTGGCCGGCGATGCGGGTGTGGGATTTTGACGTCGAAATCCCGAAATCGAAACACAGAAACCTCAATTTCTCTCTCCTAAACTCCTAAACTCTGCTAAACCCTAAACCTAAACCCTAAACCTTCTACTCCTAAACTCTACACCCTAAACCTTTTCCCTTAGCAGGCTTGTATCCCAACCTACTCGGCCTGGTTGGCGCAAGTCCAGCGCAGCTCCCAGGACGTTTGGGGAGGGTGTCGCAGTTGAGAGTTACAGTTTAGAGGTCAGGGGTCTAGGGGTTCAGGGTTTGGGGGTTAGGGTTTAGGGGTTTAGGGTTTAGGGCCTAAGGGGTTTAGGTGTTTAGGGTTTAGGGGTTCAGGGTTTAGGGGTTTAGGGTTTGGTGTGTTGGGGTATATTTCTCGGGGTTTGGGGCTTGGATGTGTCACGGATTTCAGAGACATCATGAGCCGCCATCGTTATGTAGATGTGGGAGTTTGAGACCGCATGTAGATCCTACAAAGCAGGATCGCTAAGTCAAGAAAGGTTCCCAAATAGAGGATGTGATTCTAAGCCACCCCAAACATGCCAGGAATTGAGGTTCATCATCCTTGTTTAGATGTACCAACCGTGGAGTTCATCAGAGGGATGATCGGAGTCGTAGTCTGGTTACGGCAACAAGATTCACTCTTAATCCAAAGAAGTTATGTCCAGACCCCTGAGACCCATAGTCACAGTCCACATCCAAAAACCGCATATCTCGAAGCTTTAAGCTATAAATCCTTGTAGCCTAACTTGCAGCTTCACAAGATGCTGTGCACCCCATGACAGTGATTCCTGCACTTAAGCTCAACACCCAAGCAGAAGCTGAAACCCTCCCCCTGTGCAATCACAGAACCAACGAGGACCGTGTGCCCCCCCCCAACAGTGGCTGGCCAAGAGTACCCAATACCAGGAGATCATCCAAAAGCATGGTGCCAGCAGTGCAGCAGCGCAGAAGCAGCGACTGGTCCTGTCAAATTATGGTGTTCCCAGTTAGCCCAATACCTCTTGGAGAAGGATATCTCTTGAATTTCTTTTGTCATTCTGATTGCAGGCTCTATCTTCATTCAGGGGTATTGGTCTCTTGGCCAAATATGGATTTTCAGGATCATCCGGATGCTAGAAAGGGGCTTCGGAAATCTTTTTGTCAAAGGGCTGAGGTTTTCCAGCTTTAAGGTGGCAGGGGTTTACGCTTAGGGCTTTCGGCTTTTAAGATACTGCGGCCTCCCACTAGACCCCCTGTCCCCTTTTTGTAGTCCCAGGCTCCTGATAAAGTTACCCAATACCAAAAGGTTGCTGGGCATGGTACAGTAAACCCTAAACCCTGAACCCTAAACCCCATAAAGTTGGAAGCCGGATTAAGGCCAAATACTGCTGGGATTCCCTATACATCAACTCTCAAGGATTGAGGCTATTGAGTTTCCAACTTTCTGGGCTTCTACGAAAAAATTGGTTCAACACGCTTTGGCGGTAGATCATAGCACACGTCAAGGGACCTTCCGGACGTGTTGCAGATTGCAATCATTCAGGCTTCTAGTATAGGGGCTTAAATAATTACCAACACTATTTTGGGGGTTCCTTCTTGCAAGTCTAGTACAGTGGGTCCTAAACCTTGTTCTGATTATAATATTATAAAGGCCCCTACGTTACATTACATTACATTATATACCCTCGACTTGAATTTCCGTGAGGTTGATGTGAAGGGCTCTCACCACCAGAAGCACGACCCAGGAACCTTTGGCTTTTCAGTGGTCAAGCTCGAGAACGCGAGCCGAGACGAGAAACCCCAAATGGTACCTAAATCGAACTGTACATCCGGAGGAAGCATTCTGCACCTTACCAGCCCAACCACCTTAAACCTTAAGTTCTATACCCCGAGACCCCCAAACTTTTACAACCCAGACACAAACACACGCGCAAACCCCGAAGCCCCAAATCTTAAGCGAGAGGAGGAGAAGACAGCAACGCCTCGAACCCAAGTTCTAGGAGATCAATACGGGACCGTGGTATGGACCCCACCCGGTCTAGTATTTGGCATCTACGTTTTAGGCGTCAAGGGCACCCCGAAGCGGAAGACGTGCAGGCTGTCACAGATGAAGCAGCTTAGTGCGGCGTTCTTGCCTGGGCCCCGTTTGGAACGTCGGTGTTGCTTGGGGGTTTAGGGTGTAGGATGTGATGTAAGCTTTAAGGTTCAAGAGTTTAGGGTTATGGTTTCAAGGTTTCGGGTTCCTGATCTGATCCCTGCAGCCGAAACTCAGGCTTAATTAGGCGGAGGGGGTCTTTTCCCTCGGGATCAGCTCTTTGAGGTTGTTTCCGGTCAAGTCCCCACTCCAACTGGTTTGGGGTTTACGGGTTTAGGGTTTAGGGGTTTAGGGTGGGCATTAGTGTCAAGAAGGGACAGGCTTGCTTGCTTTTGACGGCTTGATTAAATGGGTTGGATGGTTCTCGCTGATCGGGCAACTGCAATCCACCGAACACTCGACCGATCTACGCCGCACAGCTCATGTTGCTGCAGTGCGACGTCACAGCGGACCCTAAATGGGAGTTTCCGCAAATAGGGGATGGATCCTAATATAGTACCCTAAATGGTAGGATCCTTATTATAAGGACCCCAAAATACGGTACCCCGGATTTTCGGAAACCCCCAAATCTGAAGAAACCTGACTCCGAAACTCGAAACCCTACTTATCATCAACCCGGGTCCCTGGTTGTAACTAGGGTTCTGGACTCAGTTCCAGTTGGGTGGTTGTCAAAATGAGGGTCCCTTTTTGGGTACCTTAAAATATTAGGTGCCGTATTAGAATAAGAACCCAAGGAGGGACCATAATTTTGACAACTACCCATTTGAAGAGAAGGGGGGATGTGAGGTGTAGGGCGTTGGAGACTTCCAGCATCTGTAAAGTGTTTTCTCTTGTTGTTGTCATTGATACTGCCCTTGTCGTCATTGATATCCTTGTCATTGCCATGGTTTTTTGTTGTTGGTGCCTGCTTGCCATTGCTGTTGACAGTATTTCAAGCATTCCCTTCAATTGTCTCATCATTGTCGCCTCTGCTGAGAGCAGGGGAGGGTGGTCTTGGGTCGGGCAAGTCTGCAGACCAATCCTGCAGCTTGGGGCTCAGGGCATTTGGAGTTTAGGATTGGGGCTTCCAGGCGCGAAGCCCCATCACGGTCCATGGCGCTTGTGATGGAAGCCCCAACCCTAAAACTCTAAACCTAAACCCTAAACCCTAAACCCTCTAAGCCCTAAACCCCAAACCTGAAACGCCTGCTAGAGGCTCTGGCGTCTCTTTTGGCTCTGCCGTGCTCACCGTGCCTTGAGCTTTCTTGCGGCGGAGAAGCGGGAGGCGAGACAGCATCCGAAACGTCGTCTTCGTAATACAGAGGCCTGAATAGGGTTTAGGGTTTAGGGTTCCTTCGGGTTCCTTGCTATAACTCTACCATAATATACCCCCCCACCCGAAACCCCATTCCGATTGTACCACGACTGAACGATATTAGTGGTCATGGCGCCTATGTTATGGTTCAAAGGGGACAAAGAGAGACCCTTAACGGGGACCCCTACCCTATAATCGGCTATATAATGGGTATATAATAGCTATATTAAGGGTATATGCCTAGGGGTCCTTATTAAGGGGTCCCTCCTTGTACCCTTGGAGTGGTGGGGATCCGCTGCCAGGAACTTCAGACAACAGCTTCGGTTGAGCCACAATAGTGTAATACTGTTGATGATATGGGAGTTTCCGAAAACAGGGGACCCTAATATAGTACCCGAAATAGTAGATTCCTTATTATAAGGACCCTAAATAAGGTACCCCTAATTTTCGGAAACTCCCATATACATCCTGCATTACCTTAAGGACCCTAGACTATGGGAATTATGATTTATTCCTTATTATGGGTAGTGTAGGATTTATATGATCAACCGTAGTATAATATGGGGGCGTGAACAACAATTACCAAGCTTCTTCCTTTGGGTTCCTTATATAGTTTTCCTGTCGCTTCTCAGAATCTACGCCAAAACCCTCTTCTCATTAATTGCGAATTAAGGCGCTTACATTCGGATGTACACCTTGAAGCCCTAAACCCTAAACCCTAATCCCTGAACCGGAAACAGCGCCAACTTTTCCGCGGAGGTGGAGTGTTGGACCCTGGACCGAGATCTCATGGAAGTGATGGGAGTCTTTGGTAGCAAAGCAAAGACTGCAGCCTCCTTAGGAATTATTTTTTAAATGTGTTCATATAAAACCCAAGAGAATTTTGAAAAAAAATATGTTTATTATGGTTCTAAGGGGGGTTCAGAAGCGGGAGATGGGGGTCTGAACCCGAAGCGCCATCAGTGTCGAGTCTACGCTCGGGAGGGTTTCGAGATGATCATGGGGCGGAGCACCTCAATCCGAATCCCGTACTACAGGGGCCTTCATAATTACCCATACTGATATAAAACCTGCATGACCCATAATACGGAATATACCATAAATCCCATAGTCTAGGCTCCTTAAGGTAATGCAGGATTTATATAATCAGCAGTATTTTGGGGGGTTCCTTATTCTTATCATAGTAATTGTCCCCAGAACCGTATTCTATTCATTAAGGTCCCTATATGACGGAACCTGGAGCCTTCAACCCGAGCTCCAACCGGAGCTGATTGACAAGTCGAAAGTCATCGAAGGCTCAGCTTCTGTGTGCAACACTACTGTTGATGATATAAATCCTGCATTACCTTAAGGACCCTAACTATGCGAATTATGATATATTCCTTATTCTGGGTCATGCAGGATTTATATCATCAACCGTATTTCGCTCATTTGCATTGCAACAGAGAAGCCCCAAAGTATATACTGTATCTTTTCATTATGGCACCGACTCGCTTGCATGAGCACTCGGCCCTAACCCTACCGACTGAGAATGTGCAGCTTCAAGGAAGATGGATGTTCAAGTAAACACTTTCAGGTGGTTGTCTGACAGACATGGATTCTTTGGGGGGTGGGCCGACAGACTTCAGTAATCATATCATATGAAGGTTCAGGCTAATAGTTCTCTGCAGCTCGCAGCTGTCTGCTGCAAGCTTGCGCAGAGAAGCAATAAACCGCATGCCACGAAACCCTGTGAGCTCCAGGGTGCTTCTTAGTGCGACAACTCTCGTCCTACGGTTGATGATATAAATCCTGCATTACCCATAATGAGGAATACATGGGAATTATGGTATATTCCTTATTATGGGTCATGCAAGATTTGTATCATCAACAGTATTTATAGCTTTCCGACTCATCCTAAACCCGAAGACGATAATGCCCTAAAGCCCTGAGCCCCGAACCCGAGATGAGGAGATACCCTCTACGGTCTCAGCCGCCGCTGGGCCGCATAAGGGTTCGTTTCGATGTTAGGGTTTAAGGTTTTGGGGGTTTAGGGGCTCAGGGTTTAGGGCTGAGGGTTCGTTTCGCGGAGTTTTAGTGGTGAGGGCATTGGGAGAGGTTTGTCCCGAGCAGGATGGCAAGTTTGCCTTTGTCGGGGAGCTTGGCGCTCCACCATCTTAAATATCAAGGCCTAATAGTAGGTTGAGTTGTTTCGGCCTTGTTTTTTAAGTTTTGGGGTTTCGTATTTCGGTCTCAGGGGTTTAAGCTTGGGGAGTAGGAGCTTATTTTCATTTAAGAGTTTAGGGTTTAGGGATTTCGGGCTTAGGGCTTGGGGCTTAACTACTTACGAAGGTCGCGAACGTGCAACATCCCACCAAATCCATGTGCAGACTGCCATCATTTTACTTGTTTCACTCAGCCAAATGCCGAACGCCATTACCGCAAGTCTGCGATGACGACACACGCTCGTAAAAAGTAGTAGCTCTAACGCAAATAATCATAGTAGCAGGACCTCAGAGGATACGAGCACAACCAGTGGCCTCCTACGAGGCCAACATGACTTTTCGCCAGTGTGAGTGAGTACTCATCTCCGGAAGAAGACTGACAATCCCGACATCAACAAAGTTCTGAACCCCATAAGTCTTAAACCCTGAAGTCTTACAATCGTAAAGCTTAAGGACCCGAGCCCTTGTTATACCTATCCTATCCCCTAAACCCTGAACGCCAAACCCCAAACCCTAAACTCGAAACCCTAGAACGCTAATCCGCAAGCCCAAAAGCACAAGCCCTGAACCCTATCCCCTAAACCCTACAAAGAACCCTATACCTGGGTTTGGAGTACCATACTTGAATACTTTTTTTGGTACCTGTTCCTTAAAGGAACCAGTACGAAATAGAAGTCTATACTTTTTCTCTGCCTGGTTCCCTCAAAGTCCAGTATATATATATATATATATATATATATATATGGGCGCACCCCTATTTGGGGTCCCCTACGTTTTTCGCTATACCATCTGACTCGGTTATAACCACCAGACTAGGTTATAACCAGCCGACTAGGTTATAATCAGGTGTACGTCATCGACTACAGTATTATATCCGGTTTGAAGACCATGTTTTCAGAATGCTGAAACCCGCACAACGCTAAGAATTCTATGACACCTTCGTCGAAACCCTGTTACAGTGTGCTAAAATCCTTGCTTTGAAGCCGTCGATATATCTTCGTAGTTCATGTTTGTGTGACCTTATCTAAACGGCTGTATTTCAGTTTTTTTCCAACAAGAGCGCTGTAGTCATTAGTCTGGTTCAGTCATTCCTTATCGCGAACTAGATTTTGCAACGAAAAGTTTTCCATCTTTGTACTGTAATGCCGCAATCCCACCAAAGTCTCTGTTGTTGGACCCATTGCTATGACGTTTTGGCAAACTGATAGCTTTCAATGACATATCCCTGTGCCCCCATGTGATTGCTTTTAAACACTGGTATATCCGGTAGGTATATTTGAGTGGTGCACTCCTTAATTCTGTATGACGGCTGCCCCAAGCCAAAATTGAAAACTTGCATATTACAAGCTTAGCAAACGTTGTAAATTTTTTTCCTGGGGGACGACATGAAGCGTCGCTTCTTAGGCTTGGCACTGTTTCTATATGCTGAGTGATGAAGCCTGTGCTTCTTGTATCAGCACACCTTCACCATCACGTAAAGCCGACTGAAAACCATAAGGCTACATCTAGCTTGTCCGAATTTCTGTTTGTGTTCTTGTAAATATTTACTGCAAGTCGCATAGAGTCTAGAACGTGATCCTCGTGTTGGGAAAAATGGTACACACACACCGAATCAGTCCTCGAAAGAGGTTCATCCATGTAGTTGGAAATAGCAGTGCGAGGAATTTTCTACGTACCGAGCGAGGAAACCTAACAGTGAGGACACCTGACAGTTTAAGTCGCAAATTTTGTTTCGCTCACCACACATCTTCTTATCAGTTTTGTCTCGTCGAATTCCGGCTTCCTTGGAACGATGTTTGAACATAACGTTGCAACCAGTTCGCCTCTGTACGAAGTGACGAAACCTGACCACGCTGTAAAAATTGAAATAGTCTCTCTCCCTACAATGACGTCGTATCAGCCGTATCTCAACTTTCTGTGTATCGTGATATTCCAATGTCGACAACACTTACTGACCTACTGTAATCCCGATAGAGCCCCTTCATATTCCGCATTTTGATTCCTGCGTGAGTGACATGTTAGCGGCTATTCTCTCAATGTGTACGTAGATCTCATAAACCCGATGTACTGGAACGGACAGACCATTGTGTAAAGTCCGCCATATAGCCTTTCCGCTAAAGTTGGGGAATGCGCATATGGTCCCCGGAATTATGTTTGTTACAAAGCACTGCATCATGCCTCAACAACCGAATACAGCCAATTACCTCGGACCCTCTGTTCTTCTAGTCCTTGTTTAATTTCATTGCGGTTACATTCACCCTGAAACACCGAAGCTTTCGAACGTTTGGATTTAGGTGTGGATGAAGTACTGTAGCGGTGGCACAGGCCTGGTTATAACCTCTGTCCCCGGTTATAACCAGGACACCTGTGTAGTAGGCAGCCCTAGACCCATCACTAAACCATTAAACCATTAACAAACCGTTAAATTAGCACACTGTTAAACAAATCCTTTGCCCCAATGGACCCAAACCAATAAACCATTAAACCAATCCTTTTGCCCCATACCACTAAACCATTAAACCATTAAACCAATCCCCTCATACCACTAAACCACTAAACCATTAAACCATTAAACCAATCCTTTCCCCCAATGCACCTAAACCACTAAACCATTAAACCATTAAACCAATGCTTTCGGCCCATACAGGGTTGTGTGTCTCTCTCTATAGGGGCAAATGATTGGTTTAATGGTTTAATGGTTTAATGGTTTAGTCGTATGGGGCAAAAGGATTGGTTTAATGGTTTAATGGTTTATTGGTTTGGGTCCATTGGGGGAAAGGATTGGTTTAATGGTTTAATGGCTTATTGGTTTGGGTCCATTGGGGGAAAGGATTGGTTTAATGGTTTAATGGTTTATTGGTTTGGGTCCATTGGGGGAAAGGATTGGTTTAATGGTTTAATGGCTTATTGGTTTGGGTCCATTGGGGGAAACGATTGGTTAAATGGTTTAATGGTTTATTGGTTTGGGTCCACTGGGGGAAAGGATTGGTTTAATGGTTTAATGGTTTAGGTGTGCAAAAACCCAGGGGACCCCATATAGGGGGGTACCCATATATATATATATATATATATATATATATATATATATATATATATGAGTTTCCGAAAATAGGGGACCCTAATATAGTACCCTAAATATTAGGATCCTTATTATAAGGACCCCAAAATAAGGTATCCCCAATTTTTCGGAAACTCCCATATCCTGTACCCCTTGCAACCGTATCAGATCAAGGCTACCCGGCCGAGGACGTGAAGTCGCTGCTAGGTGGCCAAATGTCTTCTGCAGAGGACGGAGCTGCCTTTAGGGGTTCTTAAACAGGTTTAGGGTTTAAGGTTTAGGGGTTTCAGGTGTAATTAGGGTTTGTAAACAGGTTTAGGGTTTAAGGCTTAGGGGTTTAGGGCGTAATTAGGGTTTAGGGTTTGGGGTGTAGGGTTTAGGGTGCAGGGAGCCTTCATCACGTGGATAGGGTTTTCGTCAGGTCTTGAGAAGGCTTTTCGGTTTTTTGAGGGCTTATAGGCTTTAATTTAGGGCGACGAAGGTCAAACAGAAAGAACAGGCATGGGTAGATACAATCGCTTGGAGTTGGCAATTATCTTGTGAAGCGATCTGTTACAAGTGACAAGTGGTACCAAGACAGGAAGGCCATTCACGGTAGCTCATAAATGTCTTTGACAGACTAGCAGCCAGTCTGTAAGTGACGCGGGTCAGAAGAGAAATTGATGCTCTTGTGCTTGTGACGGCAAAAGCAGCGAGAATCCATAGTCCGGTAAGGCCTGACTATGTGGGATCTGTGAGAATCACCCGTCAAATCTCACCATTATCATTGTCACAAATACTGTATTACATTCTAAACCACCCCCCCCCCCCCCAACCCCAACCCCTCGCAAAATAATCTTTCCGGCCCAATGTCCGATTTGCGCGAAGCGGTGAATCTCAAAAGCCTGAACTCTCAATCTCCGCCAAACTCGAAACCACCAAGCTCCAACTGCGCTCAAGCCGTATTTCGTTCGACAACCTACACAAGCCCAAAGTCCTTAACGCGTACTAAACCCCAAACCCCCAACTTTCCCTAAACCCTAAAAAATCGCCAGACTCTGGCAAACCCTAATGTCCGACAGACATCAACTAACCCGCGACCCCAAGCCCTACACTCTACACCACTCAAACACAGAAGAACTTGAAACCCGAGCCCGAAACTTTAAAGCCAAAACCCCATAGAAGCCTTACTGATCACGTTAGGGCTTGGTGGTATACTACCTTGTAAAAACTACACTAGAAATGTTGACTCAGATTCCTAAAGCACCCCTAAACCCTAGACCCTAAATCCTAAACCCTAAACCCTAAACCCTACACCCTAAACCCTAAATCCTACACCCTACACCCTAAACCCTAAACCCTAAACCAACCCGACAAACAGGGCATCTGCAGCAGTGTCGCTGCGGGTCTCCGGAGCTGGGCCTTGTCAGGCCGACGCGGGAGGGGGATATGGCGGTTTAGGGTTTAGGGTTGAGGGTTAAGGGTTTTGGGGTTTAGGATTTAGGGTTTTGGGGGTTTAGGGTTAAGGGTTTAGGGTTCAGGGTTGAGGGTTTTGGGGGTTTAGGGTTGAGGGTTTAGGGTTCAGGGTTGAGGGTTTAGGGTTGAGGGTTCAGGGTTTAGGGGGTTTAGGGTTTAGGGTTTAGGGTTGAGGGTTTAGGGTTTCGGGTTGAGGGTTTAAGGTCTAGGATAATTAGATATATGATTCCATAGGGTTCCTGTTGACATGTACAGTCTTGCATAGGCCCTACCTGACCTGGGTTTTGGCTCAAGTAAAATAGCTGCCCTGCGCGCTTTTGTGCTCCATAGGTTTTGTGCATGGTAGCGGAGCGCTTTTACGGTTCACTGGACCTGGGAAGTGTGCTGATTACGCTGCTCTGCGTGTTCTTGGGTTGGTCGGTCCACTCGGCTGTTTCGGCCGGGCGAGACCGAGCCCTCGAACGGAGGAGACGCCAGGCCGCCGAAGAGCGGTGGGCCAAGCTGGTGCGTAAAGCACGCGGCGTGAGAAAGCAGCAGCGGTACTTTGCCTTTCTGGGCCACCTGCTGCAGGAGCACCCTTTGAGCCAGGCTTTTAGAAGGCGACTGGCCAGATGTCTGTGACGGCCGAGGCTGTTGGAGCAGAGCTGCAGGCTCTGAGGAACGAGCTGCTGGAAAGCAGGCGCAGGGAGGACGAGCTGAACAACCGGGTGCAGGCGTTGCAGACCGGTGGGCATGGGCTTCAGGAAGCGATGGCTGCACTGGCAGCCGTGCAAAGGGAGACCTTGGAGAGGGCCCGTGCCAGGGAAGAAAAGGTGACCCTTGTGGACAACAAGGGCTTGGCGAAGCCCGACAAGTTCGGGCGCCATGGAAGCGAAGGAAGCTTTCTACAATGGAAGGTGCGGCTGGAGACCTTCATCCTGAGTGTGCACAAGGACCTCGAGCAGCCGCTGGCGTACGCAGAGGACTGCGATGAGCAGCTTACGGCAACGAAGCTGAAGGCTTTGTTCGGCCCGACCACGCCGGCGGTGGAACACATACCGGGCCTCGAGGAGAAGGATGCACAACTGCACGCGGTGTTGCAGACGCTTTGTGAGGGCGAGGCCTTCACGCTGGTGAGGAGCGCCGGCAGGGGAGCCGGGCTTGAGGCGTGGAGGAAGCTCAACCGGCGGTACGACCCGAGTACCGGAGGGCGCCGGCGAGCGCTCTTGAGGTCGGTGCTTGCACCGCAAAAGTGCCAGCGCATCGAGGACCTCTCTTCTGCGATAGAGCTTTGGGAGGAGGCGGTGCGCCAGTTTGAGGCACGGCGGCGCCCAGATGGAACAAGGGCGCAGCTGGATGAAGATATAAAGGTGGCTGTGCTGGAGGCCATGTGCCCGAGCGACCTGGAGAAACACCTCCAGCTGTCGCGCCACCGGCTGACCACGTACGAGGAGGTCCGGGGCGAGTTGGCCAGCTACTTGGAGACGAGGCTTGGAGCAAAGGTGCAGCTGAGCCTGCCCGGTGCGTCAAAGGACGACCAAGGACCTGCCCCAATGGATGTCGGTGCCTTTGACAAGGGCAAGGGCAAGAAAGGAAAGGACAAAGGAAAAGGAAAAGGCGGAAAGGCAGCCGGGGGCAAGCAAAAGGAAACCCGCGAGTGCCACAACTGCGGGAAGGTGGGCCACCTGGCGGCGAACTGCTGGCTGCCAAAGAAGGAGAAGAAAGGGAAAGGCGAGCCGCACAAGAAGGGCAAAGGAAAAGAAAAGAAGGGAAAAGGAAAAGGAGGAAAGAACCTCCACAATGTGGAAGAAGCCGAGCCAGAGGAGGAGAGCGAGGAGCCGGAGGCGAACTTCCTCGCGATCGCCGGGCTCACCGAGGTCTCGCTTAGCGAAAGCGAGGACGAAGGCCTCCATGACACGAGTCGGCCTTATAGGCCGGCCGGTGTCAAGGGGGCCACGGTGAAGCAAGAGCCGGGCGAAAGCAGCCACGAGCCCAAGGCTGCGGAGAGCTTGGAACAGGGACCTGGTGAAGGGGCGAGTGGAGCTTCTAGTTCCGCGGGCCCCGGCCCCGCAAGGGAGCCAAAGGAGGAAATGAAAGAAGAAGAGGAAGAGATGAAAGAAGAAGAAGAAGAAAGCAGCGAGAGCAGCAGCAGCTACGTAGAAGTGCTGCTTTACCCGGGCGACCCGGGCTATGACAGCCTGGGGGAAGGCGGCGCCACCGACAGCGACGAGGAGTACATGGAGGTGTGCGTGGAACCCTGTGGGTACTGCTACTTCGAGGAGTGCGACCAGCGGCACGATGATGAGTTTCGGCATGTGTGCCCCACGTGCCGACTTGCCAAAATGAGCGCGGACCACAAGTCGAAGGTGCTGCTGTGGACCCCCTTGGAGGCTTTTGAGTTTTCGGTGGACAAGACCATCTGTGTGGTCAAGGGCCTCAGCTTGGAGCAGTTCCGGGAGCTGACAGAGGAGCAAAAGGGGGCCTACAGGGACGCCGTGGACCCGGAGCAGGTGCAGCGCATCAACCAGGATGATGTGCTGAAGGGCCTCTCGCGCTTTCGGGAGGCTGAGCGGAAAAGCTTCTTCAAGAAGGCCGGCCACCCGCAGGAGGACCCGAGTCAGGCCAGTGGCCAGGCCGGGGTCCAGGGTGAGCAGGCCAGTGGGTCTAAGGACCTGCCAGCGCGGCCGAGCGGCGCGGCGTCGGGAACCCTGATGCACCGGACCATCGAGATGCTCGAGATCACGAACCTGGCGGCCGAGAAGCGGGAGAAGGCGCAGCTGCTAGAAATGGAAGAGGACCCCGAGGAGGTGCAGCGCCTAGAGACCAGGATTCGGGAGATCGACGCGGAGGTGAAGGTGCTGAAGGAGAGGACAAAAGCCGCGGACCGCGAGGCAAGCAAGAAGCCACAGCTCACGGCCGAGACCGTGCTGGACCAGACCTGGCACGACGCCAGGTACCACAAGGCCGTGGCAGCGGGAGTGAGCCACAGCCAGGCGTGGCACGAGGAAAAGAAGAGAAGGAAGGCTGCCCTACACCGGCAGCAGGGCACGGCGGACCGTGCAAAGGAGCGTTTGGAGAACGAGCGCGCGTGGCATCGGGAGTTTGACTCCAGACCGGTGAAGGAAGAGGAGTACCACGACGAGGCGGCCCCTGGGTTGGAAACGGAAGCCGTGGAAGAGACAGACCAGGGAAGGCTGCGGGTGCTCACCGGGAGCGCGAGGCAGGTGAAACGCGGAGAACTGCGCAAAGGTGAGGAGGCTACCTTCGTGGCCTCGGCAAGGACCTACCGGAAGCTCAGCCAGGCGGAGGTGAGCCGCTTCAAGACGGAGACCAAGGAAGACGAGCGGAAGGTCATGGAACGCAAGCGCGTGGACCTGCAGAAGAAGCGCGTGCGGGAAATGACCGAGGAAAAGAAGGACGCGAGAAAGAAAAGAGTAAAGGCGGCGAGCCGGAGGAAGGAGGCTTGCCGAGACCTCCTGTGGTTCGGGGAGTGCACCCGAGCGCGGTGCCCTTTTGGGCACGACCCGGAGCTGGTGAAGAAGGCGAAGTTTTCGGTGTGCTCGGAGTTCAGCCGCGGGGTGTGCCAGAGGAAACAGTGCCGCTTCGTGCACGACGAGCTGGAGCGCGAGAAGTACCAGCTGTTGCGGCGGCACCGGCAGAGGCGGCAAGGTGCGAGTGGGACCTCTGGTTCCACCGGCATCGTGCTGCGCGAGGCGCCGAAGCGTGAGCGCACGAAGGAAGAGCCGTTGGACCTAGCGCACCTTAGTGGGGCGTGTGAGGAGGAAAGCTGGGACGGCTACAAGAAGGTGACGGTGAACTTCGACACGGGGGCGGCCATTTCGGCCATACCCGTGGAGGTGGCAAGGGCCGCCACGAAGAAGACCGCGGCAAGCGAGAGGTGCTACCGCACCGCAAGCGGCGAGGTGATCGAGGACCAGGGTGGAGCCTTGGTTCAGGGCTACGACGCTGCAGGCGTCGGGCGCAAGATCGAGGGCCGCGTCACCGACGTACACCGCATGCTGGCTTCGGGCGCAGCTGTGGGGAAGCACAACCACGTGCTGCTGATGGGCAGCAAAGGGTACGTGATGCCCAAAGGCGGCAAGATCGCCAAGGCGCTGGAGAAGACGTTTCGGGAGACCGCTGAGGCGGGGCACGGCAAGGACGTGCTGGAAATGGAAGAGCGCCGGGGCATCTACGTGTTTGACCTGTGGGTCAAGGAGAGCAAGGAGAAGGACTGTGCGACAGTCGGCGCCCTCGGCGAGGGCGCAAGCGAGGAGGCAAACAGCCGGCAGGCGCGCAAGCCGTAAGGCCGGCGGTAGAAAGACGAGCGCGAGGCAAAGGGCCGAGCCGGACCATTGGTCCGGCCGCGCCCAAGGCAGGCGCGAGTGGGTCGAGTCGGGCCAGGGGCCCGGCCGAACCCGAGGCGGCAGGGGCGAGCCAGGCCATTGGCCAGGCCGGCCCCGGTGCGGCAGGAGGTGAAGGTGAAGGTGTGGGGGCGAGTCGGTCCGATGGACCGGCCGACCCCGAGGGGGAAGGAAGCGGTGAACAGCGAAGGGCACGAGTGCCCCGGGCGCCCACGGCGCCCACGAGAGCTGAAGTGGAAGAGCACGAGGCCACGGGCCACGTGATCCATAGAAGCTGGTGTCCCCACTGCGTGCGGGCACGAGGCGACTTGGAGAGACACCCGAGGGTGAAAGAAGAGGACCGCAGTATCCCCACGATCTCCTTCGACTACTTCTTCTTTTCGGAGGAGGGACAGCCACACCTACAAGTGAAGGATGATTTTACGAAGATGATGTGGTCGAGCGCCATCCCTGCGAAGGGCGCCGACCCGTTTGCGGCAAACTTTGTTGCTGCGTGTGTTGGCGAAACGGGGTATCGGAAGATTATCCTGAAATCGGACAACGAGGCATCTTTGAAGGCGCTCAAGGAGCTTGCGAAGCAAAGCATACAGGGCGTTGAGGTGCTGCCTGAGGAGTCGAAGACTGGAGACTCTAGGGCGAATGGCCGGGTCGAGGCTTCGGTCAAGGAGACAAAGCGGGAGGTTCGGGCCTTGCTGTCTGACCTCCGATCGAGAATAAAGAAAGAGAAGCTGCACGACAACCACCCCATGATGGCGTGGGTGAGCAGACACTCCGACTTTCTTATCTCGAGGTATAGGATTGGCCAGGACGGCCGCACAGCTTACGAGAGGCTGAAGGGCAAGGCTTGGAGGCTGCCCTGTGTGTGTTTTGGAGAGCGGGTCTGGTTCAGACCGCTGGCTGCGTACGCGAAGAAGCACCTGAGCAAGGGCACGGACCCAAAGGTGCTGGCAGGACACTACGTGGGAACCCATGCGCGCAACGGCGACGCCTTGGTGATGACCACGCAGGGAGTTCTAAGGGGTGGCTCTCTCAGGAGGATGTCGCCCGAGGAACGCTGGAACGACGACGAGTTCGACAAGTTGCAAGGGGTGCCCTGGAAACCCATGGCATCCGAGGAGAGCAGGCGCACGGAGGCGCCGGTGAAGGTGGATCTGCCAGAAATGGTGGGCCCAACAGAGGTTGCTACGAGGGCCTCTGGAGCAAGGAACCTCTACGTGATGAGGTCGGACGTGGAAAACGATCCAACGCCTGGGTGTCCAGGCTGCGAGGCAATCATGCTGGATTTGCCCGCGGTGACTCACAACCAGTTTTGCCGTGGAAGAATCCAGGAGAAATTGTCTAAGACGCCAGAGGGGAAGGCGCGCGTGGAACGCGCCATGAAGCGGAAGAGTGCAGCCATGGACGGCCGCCCTGACGCACAGGAGAGCGAGACACAGGCCGCTACGGCGCTAGGTGCGCCGGAGGATGCGGCTGGGAGTGAGAAGCGGAAGCAGGAAGGAGCTGCAGAAGAAGCTGCAGACAAGAAGGGCCGGGTGGAGGCCAAAGGCACTAAGCGGCAAGGGGTGGACCCTGAAGACCTCTACTGGGAGGACCAACTGGAGGAGCCACAGGTTGTGGAGGTCCAGCCTTCCAGCGGGTCTGCCGCTGAAGGGTCTTCGCTCAGCCACTCAGCGTTTTGGAGCCCAGTGGTGCCTGGAGCACCTGCTGGAGGACCGAGTCAGGCCGGTGGCCAGGCCGAATCCGGGGGAGAGCAGGCACAACAGGGAGACGATGCTATGCCTGATGCTGGCCTTTTGGAGCTAGCACAGCTGGTCGTGGACGATCCTGGTGACAGTGATTTGTGTGAGGTTGCCGGGCTTCTGAAGAGCCTGGGCAAGCGAGGGCCTGAAGAGGCCACTGGGCGACTGGCGGAGGTTCATAACAAGCTGGGACTTGAAGTCGGGTTTTCCTTGGACCTCGAAGCGCCGAAGGAAGGAGGAGAACGGTGGGACCTTAGCAAAGGTCAAGAGGCCGAGTGTTTAAAGGCCAAGCTGTGTACCGAGAAGCCGTTGCTTCTCGTAGGGTCACTTCCTGTAGGACCCTTTTCTCCTGCGGCTACACTGTACAAGAAGAGTGCCAAGCCGCAAAAGCAACTGGCGGAGGAGGGGAAAGCCCAACTTCGCAACCAGGTGGAGTGTTTTAAGGAGCAGCACGCGAGCGGGCGGTACTTTCTCTACGAGCACCCGCGCGGCTGCGGTGGCTGGGAAGAGCCAAGTTTTCGGGACCTGCGACTGCACAAAGGGGTGCAGGTGGTGGAAGGTCCTGTGTGCAAGTGGCGCTTGGGCGCCAGCTACGTGAAGCGTGTGACAAGGTGGGTGACCAACTCGGCCATTTTGGCCGCGAGGTTGAAGGCACAGTGCGTGCAACCGATGCAGCGGAATCTGCAGATCGTTGAGGGTACAGCGTGTGAGCCTGGAAAGTACCCGGCACCCTTGGCGAAGGCCATCCTTACGGGCCTCAAGGGTGTTCTGTTGGAGACGGGCGAGCTGAGCGCGGTCACTGCGCACACAGCCGGCCCGGTGCCAGACGAGCCAGAGCTCGAGGTGGACTGGTCCCAGTATGTACCCACGGGTGACAGGGTGTATTGGGATACCATCACGGGCGCACAGCTGGATGCGGATCACGTCGAGCGTGCCCGTGCAGAGGAACTGCAATGGGTGCGGAAACAGGAGGTGTACCGCAAAGTCCGGTTGGAGCAATGTTATGAGGACACTGGACGTGCCCCCATTACGTTGAAATGGCTCGACCGAAATAAAGGAGACGCAAGCAATCCCAACTATCGTAGCAGACTTGTGGTAAGAGAAGTGAAGAAATCGTCTCGGACGGACGACTTGCCGGAGCACGAACTGTTCAGTGCTATGCCACCCGTGGAGGCACTGAAACTGCTATGCTCCATTCTCGTATCACAGAAGGTGAGTGCACAGGGTAAACCCCTGAAACTCAAACTGTTCGATATATCCCGTGCCCATTTCTATGGACAAAGCAGGCGCAAAGTGTATACCAATCTGCCCGAGGGTGACGAGCAGGAAGGGTATTGCGCGTTGCTTCAACGCACGATGTATGGGACGCAAGATGCGTCTTCTGTCTGGCAGGAGACTTACACCAAGCTAATGGATGGTCATGGCATCAAGAACGGCAGTGCGTGGCCTGCGATCTTTGGTTGCAGCGAACGTGGCCTGAGGATGCTAGTCCATGGCGACGACTTCTTTGTCCTGGGTGACGACGATGGACAGAAGTTCGTGGAAGGTGTTCTCGCTGAGAAGTTCGAGTATCGGATTGATGGGTGTATCGGGCCTGATGCTACCGACGGTACTACCCTGACGGTGCTCAACAGGATCATCGAGTATGACAAAGCCACTGGAACGGTGAAATACGAGGCGGATCCCAGGCATGCAGAGATGGTGGTGAAAAGCCTGGGCCTGGAGACTGCCAAGCCGGTGACTACCCCGGCTGAGAAGCAGACTCTGCAAAGCGTGTTGGCAAGCATGACAATGCCCCCGCTACCTCCCGACCAAGCGTCACTCTACAGGTCGGTGGTTATGCGGGCGTCTTATCTGTCGCAAGACAGGGCAGATATAGCTGAAGCTGTTAAGACCCTGGCGCGGCGGATGCAGAGTCCAACGGAGTACGATATGTCGAGGCTAAAGCGTCTGGGAAGATATCTAAAGGGACGGCCCCGCGTCCAGATTCTTTTCAGGCCGCAACAGATGTTTACGAAACTGCGGTGCTACGTGGACTCAGACCATGCGGGCTGTTTGGTCACGAGAAGGTCTACGAGTGGACTTATCTTGATGGCTGGGCGCCACTGCATCAAGAGTTCAAGCACGCTGCAAAGCACGATATCACTCAGCAGTGGAGAAAGCGAATACTATGCAATCGTGAAGGGAGCAGCACTCACACTGAGCATGGTTGCTCTTCTGGAGCAATGGGACCTCAAGGTTGAAGCTGTTGTCTCGTCAGACAGCTCGGCCGCACGAGGAACGTGCTCACGAAGGGGCCTCGGGAAACTGAGGCATGTACAGACTAGGTACTTGTGGGTCCAGGAACGTGTACAGCGGAAGGACATAAGTATCGAAGCCGTGGGGACTGCTCACAACGTTGCAGATGCATGTACGAAGCCACTGACGGCAGAGGTCATTGCAAAGCATATGGCTTCAATAGGTCAGGTGTTTTCTGAGGGCAAGAGTGTTGCAGCGAAGGCTGTATCATGATACGCCCTGTCGGTCGAAGACCAACGGTCGTAGGAGGGGTGTTGACATGTACAGTCTTGCATAGGCCCTACCTGACCTGGGTTTTGGCTCAAGTAAAATAGCTGCCCTGCGCGCTTTTGTGCTCCATAGGTTTTGTGCAGTTCCTGAGTATAAGCATATAAGCATATATATATATATACACCGCAAAACCCGATTCCAATCATAAAAGCGCCTGTATTGCGGTTTAGGGTTCCTGTTGGAGGGTTATGGTTTTCGACATTTATGGGTGAGTGCTTTGGGGTTTAAGGTTTTTGGGCCGTCAGAGTTCATGGATATTCATGGCTCAGGGAGTCCTTGACTACCGTGCCCGGGCCCGGGAAAGAAGGGAGTCATTGGTTATTTTCTTCTGTTGGGACCTATAGATCCCTTTAAGGAGCCATATATTCTTAAAGGAGCCCTATAGATCCCTTCAAAGAACCCTATTCCCTTAAAGGAGCCCTGTTACTGCTTTCTTTGTCTCAGAGGTCAAGCCCCTGACCCCCGAGACCAAAGCCCCAAACCCTCCCACAGAGCCAGGCCAGAGCCCGGAAGCCCGAACCACTGCAGACCGTATTAGGAGCCTGATTAAGAAACCTTAGGCCTTTATTAGGGCTCCTTATATGAATTCTAGTTTTTTGGGTTATAGGCCCAGGTTGTTTTAAAATCAGGTTCCTACAGTTTGTAAACAGAAAGGCCAAGAATACCACTAGCCGCAGAAGTTTCTGATTCACAAAACAAATTTCAGTTCCCCAAGTCATAGACCCTCGGGGCCGTAAGCCCTGATAGCCATGGTAAGCCTTATAGTAGAAGCCAGAAAGTTGGAACATGGATTTAGGAGGAATAGTGCTAGGACCCCTCATGTTTTACCTTAAGGGCATGGGGATAATGATGTTACAACTCTCCGGCTTCTACTGTAGCTGTAGACCCGAAAGCTGCAAACAAGTCAAGGAGCCCAACCTGTCGACCAGCACTCTCAGATACCAATCCTTCCACAAGAATGCACCGTAGTTTCCATCTTCAGTTTGTATCGATTAAAAACCGAAAACCCAACAATACCGAGAACCCTAAAAAGACAACAGATGCCCTTCAAATAAAAGACAACAGATGCCCTTAAAAAAGAAACATAGACAACAGATTCCCTTGAAAAAAGAAAGACAACAGAGAGTCTGCAGAGGTGGGAAGGTTGTTGTGGACGCCCAAAGCTCTGAAGGTGGGCTTCTCACGAGACTCGCTTTGGGGGTTCGGGTTAAGGGGTTTAGGGTTTAGGGTTTGGGGTTGAGGGTTTGGTTCAGGGGTTCGGGTTTCGGGGCTTCGGGTTTCCATCTTTTCAGGGCTTTATACAGCATGTACGGATACGCAGGGTTTCATGAAGCAATGTTAACACATAGACACCACATCAAGGTCCTTGAAGTCATGCGCATACTCATCCCCGTATTCGCATTTGAACTCATATTCACACGGCGCTGCTGCTGCTGCTGCTGCTACCACCACTACTACTACGCCACCACTAATTACGACCACTCCTACCACTAACACCACTCTACCACTACCGCTACCACTACTACCACTACCATTACAACGACGGCGATTACTACTGTTACCACTACTACTAGTACTCCTCCTGCTGCTGCTGCTGCTGCAGCAGCGACTACCACTACAACAGTCTATCCTCACAACTAATCCCGAAGCAACCACGCTGAAACCCCAAAGACCCCTAAATCCCAAACACCTAAACTTCTAAACCCTAAACCCCCCTAAACTCTAAACCTCTAAACCTCTAAACCCTAAACCCCCCTAAACTCTAAACCTCTAAACCTCTAAACCCTAAACCCCCCTAAACTCTAAACCTCTAAACCTCTAAACCCTAAACCCCTAAACCCCTAAACCCCTCAACCCGAAACCCCAAACCCGAAACCCCCCGGATCCCCAATGCCCCATCTGATCCCACTTGAAGGCTCATGGGGCTTAGTAAGTAAGGTTATAAGTAGGATATAATTAGGATAACCCCCACTTAGGGGACTTATAAGTAGGATATAATTAGGATAACCCCACTTAGGGGACTTATAACCCCAATTATAACCTACTTACTAAGTCCCATGATCCTCTAAGCACACGAGAGGGCGACGTTCCAAGCGCCGCCTTCCCAGTCCCGCCGCCTCCTCCGGTGACGAGGCCGGGGGCAACATTTTCGGGAGAAGTTTAGGGTTTAGTTTAGGGTTTAGTTTAGGGTTTAGTTTAGGGTTTAGGGTTTTGGGGGTTTAGGGGTCTAGTGTAGAGTTTAGTAACAGCATCCCCTGACAGTCCCCATTCTACTGTTGATGATATAAATCCTGCATTTCCTTAAGGACCCTTAACTATGGGAATTATGGTATATTCCTTATTATGGGTAGTGCAGGATTTGTATCATCAACCGAAGTTTTGGTTTAATGGTCTCCAAGACTCATTCAGGCCCTGAGGTTTAGTTGAAGGGTTTGGGGTTTAGGGTGTCGGTGTCGGGGTCCTGTGGTTCTATGAAGGTCAGCTTTATTGTGGCTCTGCAAGTTCTTTCCGGGTCTCAGGGTGGAGAGTTTAGGGTTTAGGGGAATTGAAAGGGTTTGAAGGAGATCAGGGCTTCGTCAGGCTGTTTTGAGGTGTGCTGGGTCTCAGCTTCGTCTCTTTTTGGGCATGGCCCCTGGGACTTTGGGGAGTTGAGGCTAAAGGTTGAGGGCCTTCGGGTTGACGTAAACCTCGAACCCTAAAGCCTGAAGCTCAATCCGTGGAAGGCATGCAGGGTAGTAGATGCGCTCGTACGAAGTTCCTACATGGGGCCAGAGTAAGTAGCAACAGCCTTTGCGTTTACACTAGTCAGAGCAACATCATAGTAGCACTCGCCGCAGACAGTCGTAATTGTTGTGCAGTTGAGGGTTCCACATCCGGCATTGGTTGGACTCGGGCTTATAAACTTATAAAGCTTTGTCCATCCAGTTCAGCTTGCTATGCTAGATGCTGCCTCACCATGTGCGAGATGCGTGATTAGCGGCATGGGAGTCGTAGATGCAGCTTTCAGGGAAAATCTCTAAATCCCACCCACCTTCAGCGTACAGCTTACCCAAACCCTGCATCCGATCGCCTAAAGCCTAAAGCCTGGACCCCAAGCCCTAAACCTAGGGCCCTTATACCGAAATCTCGGAAAGGAGGCCAAAGAGCCCTACGACGTCGGCGCCATGTTCCTGCAGCCTGGCATCCCTCTGTTTTTGACTGCAGCTGAGTAGGTCACCTTTTGCCGTTTCTGTGTCCAGGGCTTTAGTGTTGTAGGCAACCTTTCTGTCCCTTTTCGGGGTTTTACTCCGACCATGATTGGCATACATCAATGCTAAGGCCTCAAACCCGAAGTCGTGATTCAGCCGCTTAGTATTTTCACCACAAAGGCCCAGGGCCTTGCAGCATCGCAGCGTCGTGGCTTAGTGTTCAGCTTGCAGAGCTCGCTGTTCTCAGGTAGCCTTCCTCCTCCGAGCTTTCCTCCTGGGTTATCCTAAACCCAAAAAATCCCTAAACCTTGCAACCGGAACTTCCTTGGGGAAATCAAAGTTTCACCTAAAGCCATAAAGCACCGAGAAGCCCCGAGGTCAAAATTGAATCCCTTGCATCGCGCTCTCGGGGATCGGGCCCTGGCGGAGGTGCTGAAGGGGTTAGCGCTTGGGGTGCTGGAGGCTGGGCTTCGACGGTTCCGGATCTAGGCCCCCCTAAGCCCTACACCCCTAGGCGCTGGACCCAAATCCCTAAGCCCTAAACCCCAAATCCCCAAACCCCTAAACCCTAAACCCAAATCCCAAAACCCGAAACCTCTAATCCCTAAACCCTAAGCCCTAAACCCCTTAATCCCTAAACCCTAGAAGGGAGCGCAGGTTGAGAGTTTAAGGCTTGGAGGCCACTGGTTTCGGCTTGAGGCTTGGGCATTTCGTAGGGTCGCGGAGTTTGGATTTAGATGACAGGTCGATCATACTGTTGCTGATATAAATCCTGCATAACCTTAAGGACCCTAGACTATGGGATTTATGGTATATTCCCTATTATGGGTAGTGCAGGATTTATACCATCAACCGTAGGAGCCTCAGTTCTTCCTGCAGATCATGTCGTGTGACCTGATAGAGGGGCCTTAAGAATCAGAATGGGGTTTTGGGGCCCACTTTATCATGATTATAATAATAGGGCCCCCCCGCAATAGTATAGGTAGTTCTTAAGGCTCCTATATTAGGTATACTTAAAGCAAGATGAAGCAAGACCTGGACACCAATGCCCGAAAAGCCCTAACCTGCCAGCCCGAAAGCCCTGAGCCCTACGCCCCATTTATGGTTTAGTGACCCCAAATCCATCAATACGCTGCAACCCTAAGCCGTGAAATTTAAACCCAACCCGAATCCCGAAGCCCTGCAATGCAGATTACTGGCAGGCCCTGTTTACAGTATTCCTTAAAGCATAAAGCAGCATTGTAGTTTCTTCAATTGTCCCTACCCCACCCTAAACCCTAAACCCTAAACCCCAAACCCCAAACCCTAAACCCTAAACTAAACCCTGTACTACCCTGCATCAGGACTCCTTAGTGCGTGACGACCTACGGTCGAAGATGTGGACGGAGCGGCGGCGTTGCCTTCAGTTGGGGAACTGCTAGACACAACGGGGTTTGGGGGTCTTCTGGTTAGGATCCTGCAACCCCTTACCGTTGGTTAGTAGGGAATGGAGGAATGGGGTACAGCTATAGCTACTATTACTACCATTCTTCCATTCCCTACTAACCAACGGTAAGACCCCGAACCGCAAACTCAAGCCACCACCACCACCACCTCGACGACGACATGGAGACTCAAGGTTTAGGGTTCTTCGTTTTGGTTCCGGGTTTAAAGACCATATTCCGGGATCAGGGTCGGGGGCGACCCCAAGCTCTTTTTGTCTTCTGGATGCAGATCTACTTGGAGGTTAATGGGTAGTTCTAAGTGGGGTTATAAGCAAGGTGACTACAGTTACAACCCTCATTAGGGGACCTTTAACCCCACTTATAACTACCCATGAACCTCGAAGTAGGGGTCCCAATCGTCAGGCATCGCAGGCATTATGTCGAAAATTGGAGCAACCCCGGCTCGCCGCACCATGCAACAGCCCAAAGTGCCTTCAGTAGGGAAGACCCCTCAAGCTGTCGAGGTGCACTGTGCTGCTTTGATGAGTAGGATCCTTGCAGAAAGCTACCCGAATACCCTTGTGGCTTTATTCTGGACGGGGGTGTCGTGATCAACAGGACACAAGTCCCACAATGATGAGGGATTGGGGCATACAGAGCACTTCAGCACCCAAAGTCCAACAAAACAACCTGAAGCCCTACAAGGCCTTGCAGAACACCATTGAAGCACACACAAAATTAGACTGTGGGGGGTACCGACAAACCCGGAAATAATCACGAATGTTACGCTTAACTTATATCATTCAGTTCAATACGGTCCTTATTATTCGTATTACTTAGGGTTACTACTCTTGCTACATAACTTCCATGATTACCACTAATTCTGATAAGGCCCTAAACCCTAAGTCCCTAAACCCTAAACCCTCAACCCCGAAACCCCTAGACACCTAAACCTGCGAATGGAGTCAAAGGCGCACTACACTAAAAAACCCTAAACCTCTAAACCCTGAACCCTTCTGTCTCTGTTGTTCCCTTTCCCTTTCCCTTTCCTTTCTCTTTCTCTTTATTTTTCTTTTTCTCTTTCTACCCTTCAAAAGAGACGTCTTAGCGAGGAGGGTCTGGCGCTGCAGCGGTGCATGGCCTGTGCTTCATCGGCACCCCAGAAGCCCCGAAACTTTCGACCGCCCCCTGACCCTAAACCCTTTCTTTAGGGTTCAGGGTTTAGGGGTTTAGGGTTTTTTTAGGGTTTAGGGTTTGGGGGTTTGGGGGTTTGGGTTTAGGGGTTTAGGGCTTTAGGGTTTGTTAGCGTTGGGGGTTTAGGGTGCGTAGTATGAGACTCAATGTAGGGGCTTTGATAAATTAGGATAGGGTTCATTAAAAGGTTCATAAGGGTTACTATAAGGGGCTATACGGGTACTGTAATGTAGGGGCCTTCATAATTACCAATAGTATTGGGTTGGCTTCCTATTATGATTATAGTAATCCTTTACCCCAAAACCTTGTTCTAAGTATTAAGGCCCTACATTAGCCTAAAACCCTTTCCGGGTTTGGGGTTTAGGGTAAACCTTGAGTTCAAAAGCTATCAGCCCTGAATCCTAAGCCCAAGAAATGGCAGGCCATGGGGATCTCCGATGATTTCGGTTCTTAGGGTCGGGGATTTCCGGCAGGATTTTCAGGAGGGTGTCCGGGCTAAGGCTCCGGTGCTGGATTTGGTTTTTTGGATTCAGGATCGGGCATTTTCGGTGCTATAGCCGTTGAATGACCAAGAGCCTCAGGGTTTAGAATGGTGTCCCGAGCGAGGTCGTTCGAACTCGGAGGCTTTGAAAGCTTGAAAGTTTGGAGGTTGAAGCTTGAACGTTTCAAACTTTGAAGGTTTGAATGTTCGAAAAGTGCTGGAGTTCGAAAGTTTATGCACCTTGTTATGCACAAGCTAGCAGCTAGCTGTCGTCAAACTTCGAATTTCTCAAACTCAAAATTTTCAATCTTTCAATCTCTCTAACTCTCGAACTTTCGAGATCGACTTTGTGCTTCAAGCTCAAACTTCAAACTTTTGCCGCGGTCGAGTTCGATCGGCCTTCGAAGTTTTTTGAAAGTCTGAGACTTTGAAAGTTTGCACCTTCGAAGATTCGACTCTTTCAGTATTGACAGTTCGAGTGTTTGAAATTTCGACAGTTTGAAAGTTCGATAGTGCGCAAGTTAGAAGGTTTGGAGTTTGAAAGGTTGGCCTCAGATTCGATTTGCGGCTTGCGGCCGGCTGAGGTCGCGAGTTTGACAGTTCGAAGGTTTCAATCTTCGATCGAAAGTTTGAAAGGGATGAAAGTTCGCGAGTTTGAGAGTTCGAACTATTGATGGTTTGCAAAGTTTGCGTCGAGATGGAAAGTTCGAGAGTCCGCCGATTTTGGAGCTCGAAAGTTTGAGAGTTTGAAAGATTGAAAGTTCGAGAGTTCTCCAAACTTCTCAATTTTTCAAACTTCAATCTCGTCCAACATATGATACGTTCAATCTCTCGAAAATTCGAGTTCGAAAAATGCCACTCGTGACACCTCTCATCCATTGAGGGCCGTGCTCCTGGAGTCCTCCACACCCCTGCAGCATTGACGTGCTTGGAGGGTCGGGGGACTTAGTAACTGGTTATTTTAGGGACTTATAAGTACCATAACCCCAATTTGGGTCCCTTTTAGGGTACTTATAAGTCTACTTACTACCTACTTACTAAGTCCCCCGACCCTCCAAGTGGAGTATGCAACCCTCTGTGCCTCTGCAGTTTGTCGGGCCCGGCATTTCATGCAAAATCGTAGAGCCTGAAGCTCCGACTCCTCGTAAGCCCTGAGCCCCCCCAAGCCCTACATGGTTTAAGCCGCTCTTCGTCGAAATTCCAAAAGCTCCAAAAGCCCTTCATCCAGGTATCCAGGGAATGTGATTTGAGGTTTCTCCTTGATTCAAGCGTTTTCCCGCAGGGTTTAGGGTTTCGAATTTGCGTTTACCTGGACCCTAACCTACGTACCTTTCTAGGGTTATGCCCTTAAACCCTAACCCTTAAATCCTAAACCCTAAACCTGAAACCCGAAACCTTAGACCCTAAACTTTAAGCCCTAAACCTTAAACCCTAAACCTTACACCCTAAACATTTAACCCTAAACCTTGACCCCTAGACCTTAAACCCTAAACCTCAAACCCTAAACCCTAAACCCTAAACCGTAAACCTTAAACCCTAAACCCCTAAACCCTAGACCTTAAACCCTAAAGCTTAAACCCTAAACCCCTAAACCCCTAAACCCTAGACCCTTGAGACCCAGGCTACGTGCGCGCCGTGGCGCGTCTTCGGGCGAAGGCCTGGGTCGGCAAAGAACGGGATTCCCTTGTTTTAGGGGTTTAGGCTTTAGGGATCAGGGTTTAGGGGTTTAGGGTTTAGGGATCAGGGTTTAGGGTTTACGGTTTAGGGATCAGGGTTTAGGGTTTAGGATTTAGGGTTCAGGGTTTTAGGGTTTAGGGTTTAGGGTTTAGGATAGGGGGCAAGAGTCGTGGAACCTCCATCCGTTGAGCGTGTGAGTGTGAGTGAGTCATAGGTTTTGGGCCTTTTCAGGGTTTAGTTTGCTGGTTTTCTCGGGGATGTGATAAGGTAAGATTAGTATAGGGGTTTGTTCGGGTTTTTCAGGTTTATAAGGTTTCATGGGGTTGTACAGGGGCTTGAATGGCGAGTCATGCCTGCCATATGACGGAAGCGTTCAGGCTTTTGTATTGCCCGTTTTCAAGCATAGGAAAGTAGGCTGCAACTTCGGGTTGGGTAGAGGATAGGGCTCAGGGCGTTAAGGGTGCTGAGGGTTCAGGGCTTTGGTTGTTCAGAGCCCGTGTGCCCAAGCTTGTAACCCATGAGTTGCCGTAAGGCGAAGGGCGGAGTATGCAGGGCTTCGCGGTTTGGTACATGAGCCTTCAGGTATCAGTAAACCCCCGACCGAAAACCTTTACTGCACACCGCAAGACAACAACCATTGTCGCTCCGGCCTCCGGCTATGTTTAGGTTCCGCCCCGGTTCCGCCAGCCCAAGCCCAAGACGCTGAGTAAACCCCGAAACCTCAGAACCCAAGCCCAACATTCAAGATGCCCAAGCTTGACAGGGCGATTCCGACGCCGACCCGCAGTCTCTGAAGGCTTTTGCTGCGAAGTGACTAAGCCTTCAGATGTAGGGTTCTGATGTCCACAGCTTCAGTTCTTCTTGTTGCCTTGTGCCCATGCGGCTCGGGCTGATGTAGGCTTCGCCGTGCCTTAACCACGAGGATCCTCCAGGAATTCTGTGCAAGAGTTCACGGTTCGCGAAGATTTGCCATGTCTGACAGGCATCGGAGCTTTTTCATTCATAAGACCTCTCGTCTGCTCCTTTTTGGAAAATTCAGCTCCTCGATAGTCTTATCCTTAGAGAGGGGCCCCCCTGTGCCCTAACTTTGTTCTTGAATTCATCGGCACCCATAGAATTTAGGTAGCCCCCATTTGCAGGTCTGCTGAACGAGAAACTTTTTGTCATGATATCGGGGTCTGAATCGTGGCAAACAATATTCCTTCCTAGTCCCCATACGCTAAAATTCTCCCCAAACCCTCTAGTTGTGCAGGCCCCGATAGTCTTCTGCTGCCAAAGCTTCGGGTGTGACGCGTGGGGACTTTGCTGGTAACGAGGAGTCTCATTTGGAGGGTAGAACAAGGCCCCTAAACCCTAAACCCTTAAACCCTTAAACCCTAAACCCTATAATCCCCTAAACCTAAACCCTGAGGATCCCTGGTACTCTGAAAGTTTTCTGTGTTTTTGCCGGCGCAAGTCTTGCATGAGCTAAGCGACCGCTCCAGAAGCCTTTGATGCAGAGCTTGCTGTAGTGAAGCATACGCCTAGAATTACTTGAGTAACCTCAAACCTTGAGACAAACCAGACACCCGGTTTGCCTTTGGGTACCTTAATTTTGCATCAACGAAATCCCCGCGATGCCAGTTTCAACCCTAAACCCTAAACCCAGAAATCAAGCCACTTTACCTAGACCCTCCATGCACCCTCTATCAGACTCGAGATACCTCCAATTTGGGACCATATACAGTAGAAGCCCAAAAGTTGGAAACCCCAGAGCCTCCATGCTTAAGAGTAATGTATAGGGAATCCCAGCACTATTTGGCGTTAATCCAGTTTCTAACTTTATGGGGTTCCCTAAACCCTAAACCCTAAACCCTTACTATACCCCTGTTTGAGGCTAGAGCCCTAAGTGGAGGGCTTAGGGGTTCTGGCTCGGCCTGCGCAGGTGGCACGCAAACTGGCGCATCTCTACAACGAGGAGGCAGAGATTTACTCTGGGGGCTCTACCAACTCCAAGATGTGAGTGTCCTAAAAAACGGGTGCCTTATTTGGGGATCCTTAAAGTATTTAAGCAGCCTACTTGTTAGGGTACTATACTAGGGTCCCCTGTTTTCGGAAATACTCCTGCAAAGCTAAACGCTACATGCTACAATCTAGGGTAACTCCTTGCCTAAGGATTTCTGCTGGTTTGGGTGACCGTTTGGGGATGCAGAGCAAAGTCTACACTTATGAGTGATGCGGCTTGTGGCTTAAGGATTCATGTTGGATGTTCTAGGTCAGGGATCGGAATCATTGGCAATCAGCATCGCTTTGTACTGCGTTTCTGGTCGTTAAAGAGGCTGTACTGTAGCAGACCCCAAAGCCCAGTCGAATCATTAGCTTCAGGGGCTTAGTATAGGGGCTTAAATACTCTAAGAGACTACTTTGGCGGTTCCTTCTTATAAGTACAGTATAGTATAACGGGCCACGAAACCCTATTCTAACTGTTTCAGGCCCCTATATGATGCTTCAGGTGGCACCTTGGGGAAAAGCTTCTCTAGTTGTCGTGATGGTCCTGTTGAGCTTCCCATTCATAAGTACTGTCGGTTCCTGCATTTTGGGGTTTAGGGTGTAAAGGAAGGGGGCCACAACCCCAAACCCTACACCCCGAAACCCTAAGCCTTAAACCCTGAACCCTTGACCTTACTACCCAAAGGCCCCAAAGTAGTTCCTTTTTGTGGTTCATATGTAGAATCCTATAAGATAGTTCCAAAAAGGAACTACTATGGGGCCTATGGGTATAGGCCCGAAACTTGTAGTCCCAAATCACGAACCCGGTAAGTCTTGAAGCTCAAACCTTCGTTTTTCTGGATCCCAACACCGTAAAGCCTGCGCAAGGGTTTAGGGTTTAGGGTTTATGGTTTAGGGTTTAGAGGCAATCCCACTTAACCCCAAACCAACCCCACAAACCCTCTACTAAAAACAAACTAAAGATCCCTAGACGTAAACTCTCGCGCGGCCCGATGGGAATTCACGATCTTTGGTTTCAACGAATCCCGCAGTCTCTGGATACCCCAAACCACGGATCCCAAATCAGAGTATCAACATGACAACAACCTTGGGTCAATAAGAAATTATTATGAAAATGTAGTAGACCCTACAGCGCAACACACATGTTTCATTACTAGGCTCCCCATGACAGGCCTGGTGGAAGTAGGGCCTTTTTTCGTAATTAATCGGCAAGCCGTAAGCCCTAAACTACACCCTGACCCCGAAACCCGAAGCAATGCCTAAAGATTTAGAGGCCTAAACCATAAAGCAACCCAGGCGCGTGTCGCGCTGGCGGGTGGCGATCAGAACGAGAAGGCGGAGGATCTGCTACAGCAGGCCATCTTTTTGTGGGGGGTTTGCGGATTCGAAAAGGCGTTTTACAGGGCTTGACAGTCTTTGAGTTTCGTGTAATATAGGCGCCTAATGATTACCAATACTGGTTCCCTGTTATAATTATAGTATAAAGGGCCCCGAAACCCTATTCTAATTATTAAGGCTCCTATATTAGGGTTTGTGGTTTACGGATTTGGGGTTTCGGAGTGATGTAGGGGCTTTGCGGTGCTGTTGATGGGCGTTATCGTTGTTGGTGCGTGCCTCAGGAATTTGGGGGTTTGGGTCTTCGAGATTCTGGAGGCCTTTATAATGCTTTCCTGGGGTTTGTGTAGGGTGTCGCAGAGTACGTCGATTGAGGGTTTGGGGTTTAGTCTAGGCATCTGAATGGGGTTTTTGGGGTCGAGTCACGGTCGAGTCGAGCACTGAATTGGAGGGTTAAATGTTGTCGGGTTCCGGATTCAGGACGGATTCAGGGTGTTGCGGAAGTTTTGTGGTTGCGGGTGGGGTTTCAATTTGAAGGGTTGAAGAACTGGCAAGAATACCTACATATTTCCTGTTTCAGCATATCGAACGAACTCTCATGCCTCTATGTTCGGGTTCAGGGAGGCAGGAAAGGCGTTCGGGGCTCGGGGAAAGGGAGTTTGGGTTAACGAGGAGCGCAGCAGCTGAAGGGGTACTTGGAGATTCATGGGTAGTTTTCAGTGGGGTTATAAGTCCCCTGATAAAGGTTATAAGTATATTAGTTACTGTACTTATAACCCCACTGGTTTGGAATCGTAGGTAATATCGGAGCCCATAGTCTTCCTTGGGTTCCTTTTTCTAAGTATTCTGGAACCGATCTACCCCAGAACCCTACAGCATTCGCCCCTGTGTTGGGGCTTGAAGCATGAAGTCCTTTTGGGTGTTTGCTGTAAACGCCTCGATTCGGCATCTGGGGTTCGGCATGTCGGCCAGATGGTTTTAGGGTTTCGGAGTTTAGGGTTTCAGAGTTGAGGGTCAGAATTCAGGGTTCAGGGTTGGCGTCCGGGTTCTAGTCTTGGATGTTCAGGGTCTTAGGGTTCAGCGGTTAGTTGTCCCTAGGCTCACTTGTCTTGTGTGCGAAGGGGTTGCGGACTAGAGTTACAGTTTAGATTGTGGGGTTTGAGGTTTGGCGTTTGGGGGCAGCAGGGGAGGTGTAGTCCCTAAGCCACTCTCTAAGAGACCCACCCGGGAACCCTCATAGGAGCCCGCATTATCTGAGCGCTTTGTAGGAACACTTCCAGCAACCTTGCTAGGTGCCTTAGAGGAACTCTCAAACAACCGGTCTCGGAATCCTACTTGGAGGTTCATGGGTATTTACAAGTGGTGTTTTTCGTAAGGCAACTATACTTATAACCCTTATTAGGGGACTTATAACGCCACTTACAACTACCGATGAACTCCCAAGCAGACAGCCAGGCTCAGCATTGGATGGCCGAAGCCCTAGAAACGACTGGACTCAGCGGTTGGTTTAGGAGTTTTTTGGGTTTTCAGTGTTCCTTTATATTGCTTCTTACTCACGGAGTTCAGCGACAGCACCATTTCGGGCTAGAAGGCATGTGAAATGGTGAGTATTCACGAACAGGGCCACTAAAATTATCTAGGCGGCCGTTTCATGGGCCCCCGAAGAGAGTTCAGCAATTGCCCAGAACCAGGAGCATGTTAAACCCGGAACGTCACTCGGTATAGTAATGGCCGCGGCCATGTTCTGTTTATATGTGTGTCTGTGTGTCTATATATACAAACATAAATATACTTATCTATCCATCTATATATATATATATATATATATACACATGTATGGATAGATGGCATTGTTAATCGTGGCTAAAGCGGATGGGTCAACGCAGTGCTTGACATCCGTCGTCACCTTTAGGATATTCTCCCAGTAGGCTCATCAAGCAGGCCTGCTTGGACCTTGCGAACTTCTGACTCACATCGCACAGGGACAGCTTGCCAGATTTCTAGGGTTGAGGAGATCGGTTAATGTTGGCTGTGGCGAACTCACGATCGACGGCATGCAGTCGTTTCGGCTCAGATTGCCGTCGGCTTTACATGATGCATGGACAAGCCGAAAGTGAGGCATCCACGGATGCTTGTGTACAGAAAACAGTCATGTCGCAGCCTCTGGACACATTGGGTTCAGAGAGCGACAGTCATGCTCCTTCACTGGTGCAGCTCGAGAACGTTCACTTCTTGATCGCAGTGGAAGAAGTCTGCAGCCGACTGGCTTTCGAATTGCAATGTGCTCGTGCAGGCTTGGACAATGTAGAAACTTGTGAGACTTATACCGACTTCATCCGGGTCATGGACGATTTGCAGACCCACGACGACGATGGTTGCAAGCACCTAGTTGTCATTCTTGGTCAGCGTTCATGGCTATCGTTGATGCGAAGCTTCGTCGCATGCTCTCGTCCATTCCATGTGATCGATGCGTCCATGGAAAGCGTGGGTGGGAACAACGTGAAGCTCCTCGCTTCGTGCACCGATCATGAGTTCTCAGAAACAGTCAAGGAATCTTAGGTGCACTTGGAAATATGTTTTAGGTTTATTTATTTATTTTTTGTTTTTCAGGGTTTTTAACAGCCAAGAAACAGCTGGATGTCTTTTCGTCGCAAGGGTACCAACTTCAGTAGAGGAATGCCTGGGCCTTGGGCCGGGAGAGGCAGTGAAATCCTCCGAACTGCCCTCTGCCTCGCGGGCGTCCACCAGCGCTTCCGAAGCGCTGGACTCCAGTCCTGTGGGTAGGGTTTAGGGTTCCGGGATTAGGGGTTTATGCTTTTAGGGTTTAGGGGTTTAGGGTTTAGGGTTGAGGGGTCTAGGGTTTAGGGTTTAGGGATTCAGGCCGAAGTGAGGCAAGAACCGGCCGACATGTATGAGCCGTGAGCCACAACTCCACAACAAGATTCAGACTGTAGAATCTATACTTGGAGGTTCATGGGTAGTTATAAGTGGGGTTATAAGTCCCCTAATAATGGTTATAAGCATAGTTACCTTCCTCCAAGTATGCGGCCGTGGCAGGCCCAAGGCGGCCAAGGTATTCTTGGCAGGGGTTGTTAGGAATGTGGTCGGATGCATTATCAGGCCTTGTAGGTTTCACAGCCGAATTGAGCACAATTGCGCATAATGTAGGAACCTGATTAAGAAACCCTGGGCCTATAACCCCAAAACAGTAGCATTCACATAATGAACTCTAGGAAAAGCCCAAGGTTTCTTAATCAGGATCCTACCTTAGCGCAGATCCAGACTTTATAAGTTGACCTCTTTCGCTCTTTGGAGTGCTTAGGTAGAGGGTGGAGACCTGCACCGAAGCATGATCCCAGGTCCGACACCAACAGAGCCAGCAAGACTGTAAACCCTGAACCCTAAACCCTATAAGCCCTGTAAGCCCTAAAAGGCCTAGGCCCTAAGCCCCAAATCAGCCATATTTTAACTATTCTATTTATTGTACTTATTTTCATGATGTCTATTATTTTCATGATTTTTAGTATTTTCATGGTTTCTATTATTTTAACTATTAAATCACCAAAGGTCTCCCCCACTCAGGCTTCTTTCTCTCTTCTCGTGGAAGTTTCACCAGCTCGAGGATCCCGTTCGTTTGGGGTGGGGGTGAGCGGGTGGAGACAAGTACCCGAACTTTTTGAGTCTCTTCCCTGTCCCAGAGAGCCCAGTACTCCTTAATTAAGGAATATAGCTTAAATCATTATATGAAGCCCTACATAATTTAAGCCATATTCCTCAATTAAGGGGTATTGGGCTCTCTGGGGTTCACTCCTGCCCGTACTTCAGCTGCCATGATTATTGCAGGCACTACTTGGAGCTTGAGGGGTAGATATAAGTGGAGTTAAAAGAAATTAAGGTAGCCATACTTCGGGAGGTAGGCGGAGTGCTGTTTCAGAGTTCTTCTTGGATTTTCAGTGTTGAGATGCCGGCAGCTTGGTAATGGGTCAGAGCAAATCCACGTGTTCGTCCATTCTCACCCCACCGAAGTGTCTGCCTGCAAGCGAAAATGTATCGGCAAGGGTGCGGCATGCGAGCAATCCACGGCTTGAGAGGGGAGAGAGTCTCACAGCACGAAAACACATGGACTATTTAGGGTACTATATTAGGGTCCCCTATGTTCGGAAACCCCCACATAGGTCCACACAGGTATACTCAGAGTGCGTTCCTGCTCATGCATGCTAGACTGCTACGGCTTCCCCACACAGCTTTGACTCCTTGCATGAGACCCTGCAACCCTACAGCCCTACAACCCTGAACACTAAAAGGCCCTAACCCCTAAAACCCGAAACCCTGAACCCCTAAACCCCTACAACCCTAAACCCAAAACCCTACGTAAACCCTAAAGCCCGAAACCCTAAAACCCGAAAACCTAAACCCTAAATGCCCCGAAGCCAAACTCAAACTTCAATTGCCAGAGCTTAGGTAAGGCCCCCACTCAGTAATAGTGGAATAATATTCATAATATAGATATATAAGGCCCTTAATAGTAGCCCTATTATAGACTCTTACTGTATGGGGGCCGTACCTAAGCCAGAGTCTTTTTCAGGCCCTGAGCGGCGATCGGAGCAACGAACCTTGTCCTGAGGGCTTTGTCTTTGAGGCGGTAGACTCTATAGGCTTCTAGGGTTTCCGGTTTAGGGTTGTAGGGTTTAGGCTTCTGGGGTTTTCGGTTTAGGGTTGTAGGGTTTAGGCTTCTAGGGTTTTCGGTTTAGGGTTGTAGGGTTTAGGCTTCTAGGGTTTCCGGTTTAGGGTTGTAGGGTTTAGGCTTCTGGGGTTTTCGGTTTAGGGTTGTAGGGTTTAGGCTTCTAGGGTTTCCGGTTTAGGGTTGTAGGGTTTAGGCTTCTGGGGTTTTCGGTTTAGGGTTGTAGGGTTTTGTGTTTTAGGGTTTTTGGTGTAGGCGTGTATAGGGTTTACGGTTTTGGGGTTTAGGGTGTCGGGTGTTGGAGGTGCAAAGGCCTTTCAGGATGTATGCTTAAGGATTGGGACCGGGAGTTTGTTTAGGTTTGCGGTGGTATGGCTTTGCTTTTGAGGTTGTAGGGTTAGGGATCCGGCTGGTATGGTTTAGTTAGGCCTAAGGTTTGCGCATTCTGCTCCAGGCGTTGCCAGTTCTCTTGGTGTAAGTTTTTCCTTCGGGGGAACGAAGCCGCTTCCCCATTAGGGTTTGGGGTTTAGGGTTTTTTCTCTTAAATCACCCTAAACCCTAAACCCTACTTAAATCTTATATCCTAAAGCCGATTAAAGCCGAAAGCAGCAAGAAACCACCATCCCCGAAGCCTTAAAGTTTTTCCCGGCCCACATCACCAGCTTAACCCGAAAAGCTCTGAGACCCTTACCAAAGAGCCCTACTTGGAGGCTTTGAGGTTCATGGGTAGTTATAAGTGGGGTTGTAAGTCCCCTAATAAGGGTTATAAGTATAGTTACCTTAGTTATAACAAATTGACCGATGCTTGTCCCATCTGCCTGGAGGCAATGCAATGCACTTTGGAGTAACCGAGTATTGCATTACTTTTTCCTGTCGGAGGACACGGCGGAGCGCCTTTGCGCCTTCGCGCCGTGCGGAGACATAGGATAGAAAACACGTTAAAACATATCGTGTTGGTATAGCGACGCAGAGACTCGTTTCGCTCGGTTGCTGATTCGTGCCAGAAAGCTCGACGGGAAGGATGAACGCTTCGGGGGGGGGGGTCGGCAACGAAATTGGCCAAGTGCAAACTTGCAGATACCCGTACCATCATCGCAACTTTGAAATAGGATTGAGAACACGCCAAAACGAAAGTGTCCGGTATAGGGACGCAGAGACTACTCTCGCTCGGTTGCTACATTTATGCTAGAAAGTTTGACGGAGGAGGAAAAACAGTTAAGGAGGGGGGGGGGGTCGGCCACGTAATTTGCAGAGTGCAAAGGTTACAGGTTATTGTATCGTCATCGTTACAAGATGTCGAAGCCATCTTCGGGGAGGAAGAGCTGAGCTCAAGCGGGGTTTGAGTGAATTGCAGGTTTGAGCTCCAAGCTGAGTTTGAGGGAAGTAAAGGCCTGAGCCTCAAGCACGGTTAAATGAATCCAAGGCCTACGGTTTAAGGCTTGAGCCCCAAGTGGGGTTTAAGTGAATCGAAGGCCTGAGCCCCAAGCGGGGTTTTAATGAATTGAAGGCTTGAAGCCCCAAGCGAGATCTAAACGTTTGAAAACTTGAACGTTCATGTGCGTTTTGCTCTTGTTTGCAAGAAACAAGAATTGGTTTGGTTTTCGATTTGTTGAAATCCGGCCAAATCCAAAACGCACATTGGTGACGTCCTTGAGCCCCAAGCAGGCTTCAAGCGATCGAAGGCTTGAGCCGCAAGCGGAGTTGAAGTGAATCGAAGGCTTGAGCCCCGAGCGGGGTTTCAGTGAATTGCAGGCGCTGCCCCAGGCAGGGTTTGAGGCTTAAGCCCCAAGCTGGTTTTGACGGAAGCGAAGCCCCAAGCGGGGTCTGAGTAACATCGAGGCTTAAATTTTGAGTGAGATTAAGTTGTTGTGTTGTCGATACTAGTTTATGCTAGTCTTGATGTTCTGTTTGATGTTACATAAGAGCAACACATACATTTTACAAGAGTGCCGAGAGCATATCTTTTAGGGTAGAGCGTGATCGTCCAATACTCTTGTTGTCTATGTCATCACGGCAGCTGTTTTTCTCAACATCGTGTTCGCTTCCCTTGTCTTTGCTCATCGTGGCGGCCTCGGAAGTCGATCCTATCGAACTCTTGCGCATGCCTCCATCGTTCCAGGTCGCTATGGCTGAACTGCCCGGTCGCATTCTCGAGGGTTAATTTGTTCGCTCGTGTTTTTTTTCCCGCCGTTTCGTAAGGTCCCATTTATGCCGTGCCCATGGTGGACTTTTCACCCGACGGGCCGGAATTCGAGTCCTTGCCTCAGCTAAGTGTGAGTCTCGACTCAGTGGTTCTAACCGTCAGGGCGTTTTTGGGTTTGCGACTTAGGTATCAGCCGCAATTCGAGTCCTTGCCTCAGCTAAGTGTGAGTCTCGACTCAGTGGTTCTAACCGTCAGGGCGTTTTTGGGTTTGCGACTTAGGTATCCGGATTGGTGGACAATGACACACACGGCCAAGGCTTCAGACTCATTGTGAACGACTTGTGGATTAATTGCGTGGACAGGTTTATGATCGTGAACGCGACCTTCTGAAAGACGTCGGCGAAGGCCGGTCTTTCTATGATCTCTGCCAGCTGGTATTGGACCATGTCACGAGGCGACTTCGTCTACGAAGTTTACGAGAAGGTTGGCTAGAAATATAATTGAATAAAAGTATAAATGCACTAGAGAAGTTTTACTTGTGCGAGGTTGAAGCCTGGCCAACAACATCATGCGACCCCTTCCGCATCGCCACCGAGCTGGTCATTGAGCACCGCTTGAGGCCGGAAACTTGCATTTGTGTTTTGCCTTTTCCCGCGAGTTCGATCGGCAGGGTGATGAAGTGGTATGCCCAGTGGCTGGAGCTGGACGATGTGCAAGGGCCTTACTATTCGACTGTTAGGGTGTTCATGCCTCTTCGGTGAGGCGCCAGCTGACGAAGCATGGGGCCGATGGATACATCCTGCAATGGATGCGGAAGCCCGCGCTGAAGAAGCGTCCGATGCTTAGAAAGTCACTGCCAAAACCGGCGATTCGAAGACTTGAACCATCAGGACGGCGGATGGAGGCGTGAGCGGATGCGAAGGCTCATCTTCCATACAAAAAGCGACCAAATACAAAATCACAATAC